GACCGAAGCAGAACGGCAACTCAGTGCCATTGTACGCAGGCGGTACAACTTGTACATTTTGTGGAGAGCAGAGATCTTTCCCAGCTTTTGATTTTGGGTCGCAATGTGCCGGCTGAACATGCAGGCATGGCAACCTTTAAGCACGTGATGTCTATGTGTGTTTGCAGACGCTTCGAAGCTGCAATGGCCGCCAAAGACACGGGTGGTGTGTCGCGTTTCGCGAAGCTTTTCCACCCTCTCGGCCGCGGCCTAAGCAGGGTCAGAGAGACACCTGTGAAGGAGTGTTTTTGAGGTTGAGACGTTGTGAGATGCTGAGGCCTTGCTTCAGAAGGCGTCCAGAAATATGTTGAGTCGACCCTCAGCAGAGGGAAGATAGTCGTGATGCAAGTGTTTTCACAGCAAGGCAGTGTAACATTTCGGCTGTGATTGCGAGTGTGGGAATGTTGAGAGCATGTCACGTGCGCGATGCCTGTCTGGAAAGAGTCTTTATACCTGGCAAGACGTGATTGGTGACTGGCTTGTTTAAAGCGGCTGCAGCGCAACACGTGTTCACGGAAACTGACCAGGGCTGTGCAAGTTCTTGCTGTAGAATGTAGAACGGATGGCTGCTTGGGTTCAAACTCTCCGACAGCCTCGAGGAACTTGCTAGAGAAATCAGAGAACCGTAGATGATGAGGTTGAACATCAACATGGCGATCCAGATGGTAGCTTTAGCCACTGAACCCATTTCATCTTACGAGGGTGCCAATTCTCGGCCTTGTGTGCAACACATACACATGTTTGTTGTTCGACAAGGTTCTCTCGGCCTTGTGTGCAACACATACACATGTTTGTTGTTCGACAAGGTTCATTCAAAAGACCTTGGCTGAGAAAGCCAGTGCCGACATCAAGCGTCAGCGTGGGTCTCAGAGGTTGTTGCTTTCTTGGGAGATGCCGCGTAACGGCGTAACGTCAGCAAGACTCAAGGCTCGGCTCCGCTGGGGTCAAACGAGCCGTCCTGTCGGCACAGCTTACAGTGGCACCTGCAATTGTATTTGCAGTGGCACTTGTAATCCGGTTGTCCGAAGGAGTGCACTGTGTAGCGTACCCAGCCATATATACAACTGTTTACAATGGAATTCGACAGTTTACGCCAGTTCAACAACATGCCAGCTTTCACATATTGCCAGGACCAAGGTCCGGCACCCTATGCAGAAGCTTTGACCTCGGTGTTTGTTGCAATCGCGGACATCGTCCAGGAGCACTGGGAGACGCTGTGGGCAGGTGTTTCACAGTGTTTCGTCACGTTTCGAAATCAATGAGCAGTGTCCCGTCGAACATCAACGGCCAGTCGCCGGAAGTCTTTCTTGTTTGGTAGGTTTGAGAGAACACTGTACCATCAGTGAATCAGCCCCAGGAGCATCAGCAGGCTGTGGAACAAGAGTTCGGACCGGAGAACTTTGTTGTGGTCGTCCGTGGTCTGCTGGATGAGGTTCGGCAAGAAAGACACCTTGAAGACCCCTTTTTTGAAGATTGTCGCTTTCAACTGGTGGCTTTGCAGCGTTTGTGTTTGCCCATGTTTGCGTCCGCGGCCGTCGGTGAGGAAGAGAGTCGAGGGACCTCTGATGTTGCCGATGCTTGCCCTTCTAGAGGCTTCACGCAACTTCTTGCATTGAGTTGCCAGATAAAACCTGCTGGTGCTGCCGCTGCCGCTGCCGCGGCCGCAGCCGCGGCCGTTGCCGCTGCTGCCGCTGCGGCTGCGGCTGCGGCTGCGGCTGCGGCTGCTGCTGCTGCTGCTGCTGCTGGTGCTGCCGCTGCTGCTGCTGCTGCTGCTGCTGCTGCTGCTGCTGCTGCTGCTGCTGCTGCTGCTGCTGCTGCTGCTGCTGCTGCTGCTGCTGCTGCTGCTGCTGCTGCGGCTGCTGCGGCTGCTATGGCTGCTGCGGCTGCTGCGGCTGCTGCGGCTGCTGCGGCTGCTGCGGCTGCTGCGGCTGCTGCGGCTGCTGCGGCTGCTGCGGCTGCTGCGGCTGCTGCGGCTGCGGCGGCTGCTGCGGCTGCTGCGGCTGCGGCTGCTGCGGCTGCTGCGGCTGCTGCGGTTGCTGCTGCTGCTGCTGCTGCTGCTGCTGCTGCTGCTGCTTGCTGCTGCTGCAGCTGCTGCGGCTGCTGCGGCTGCTGCGGCTGCTGCGGCTGCTGCGGCTGCTGCGGCTGCTGCTGCGGCTGCTGCCGCGGCTGCTGCCGCTGCCGCTGCAGCTGGGCTGCTGCGGCTGCTGCGGCTGCGGCGGCTGCTGTGGCTGCTGCGGCTGCTGCGGTAATTGCTGCTGCTGCTGCTGCTGGTGCTGCTGCTGCGGCTGCTGCGGCTGCTGTGGTTGCTGCGGCTGCTGCGGCTGCGGCGGCTGCTGCTGCTGCTGCTGCTGCCGCCGCGGCTGCCGCTGCCGCTGCCGCTGCCGCTTCCGCTGCCGCTGCCGCTGCCGCTTCCGCTTCCGCTGCCCTCGCCGCTGCTGCCGCCGCTGAGCTTTCATTCTCGCTGTGCCGCGATAAGCCCTTGTATCGCTGTGTTGCTTGTATGTCTTGCAAATTGCGGGAGGCTGACATCCAGGGCATAAAAGTCATCGACAAGTTTGCCAAGGACAATGCCAAGGTGACTGTACAATGGCTGTATGTTAGAGAACACCGAGACACTTCCCATCCATGGTCCCTATCCAATCTCACAGGTGTTCTCCCAGCAATTTGCCAACTCCGAAATGCGAGACGTTGGTGCTGTGCTGGAGGCAGCTAGTTGCTTTCAGGTCTGCTGTGCGACTTCAATGGTGTCCCTTTCGCCCATGCAGGAGACAGCGATGATCACCCAGCGAGTCCAGTTTGAGCCCAACTTTTCGAATCGGCTTCACACAAAACATGGAGCACGTTCTTCCTTGGTCCTCAGGCAGTTCAATACCTACATTCATTCAGTGGCGCCGGTATCTCATTCTGCAAAATTTCTCCTCAAGACGCACTAACACCATCCATCCGAGGCGCAGTGTGGTGGACATGATCGAAGACAAAGCGAGTTTTGTGAACAACTTGTCGCATCTGCCTGTGTTGGTGAGCAGCCTCTGTGTAAGTTGGGAATGTGCATGCAGAAATGCGGCAGCAAGACGACTTTGACTGTGGCATTCGGTATGTTGGGCCAGGCCTGTCGGTCACTGTCCCGATGACGGGCTTCCAGACACAAAGCTCTTGCACAGGTGCATTGCACAGCGATGTGTTGCGGGCGCTGAGACAATGCTACAATTGTAAGACATCCGGCAGCAAACTGAACAACACCAGGGTGCAGGAGCTTGTGTCTTCATACGTCTTGGCTGCGGGCCCGGTCTTGGGCAGAAAGCTTCGAGCACTTTGTCCAGTCACTTCAAACTGTGAAGTTCGATATGATTTCCTTGTAGGCCTCTGTCGTTGGTCACGTTGAGCGAAAAATATTACCATGACAGGCGGCGATAGTTGACAACACCCTATGCTTAATACACCTGCAAATCCAGGTGGAACAGAACTTCCTCCTTCAGTCAGTGGAGAAGGCAGTCACTGAAACGGATTGCGCCGAACTGAGACATGCAGAGCGTTCGCTGTCTTCTGCACTGAGTCATACTCCACTGATGCTGACAAGCAGGCTTGGACCCTGACGATCCAGATGCTCTTACCACTACGCTGATTGATGAAGCCTTCTACATCATGCGCGTGCCTGAGCAGCTAGCCCTCGTGCCGCAGAGGATGCCATTCTCTGTCATAGCTTTGGTGAGGCAGGAATCAATGATGAGGTCTGTCACGACTTGCGTTGCCCTCAACGGCACTAGCAAAGACGAGATGCGGTTAGTGTTCGATGGCGCAGATGAGTTTTGACTTGGGTGACTGGGTGACTAATGTTGTTCTCCGAGGTGACCTCAATGCCGTCTGTGCTGTGCGCCTTGCACGGTTTCCATGTCGTTTGATCTCAAGAACCAAGAACAGACCAGACATGACCAGATGTCGTTGGAAGGGCGGGCGGGAGAGCACGAGACCAGAGGAACTGCGGAATTGCAACAAACTCCTCACGTTGCCTACGCTGTACCCCGGCATGCGTGCGAAGCAGGTCGTACGGGAGTAGCACACAAGAGAGTTCGTCGTTTAGAAAGCTGCCTCACTGTGTTAGACCCTGCAGTGCTGCTACGAGCCCTTGTCATCCCCAGAAATGGACTAATGTGAAGGCGCCGACTGCCAAGAACAGGTCAGCTGTGAGTCAAAACAGGAGGGTGGCAGTGAACCTATATGAAGTCCTTCGCGAAGGTCGCGAGAGGTTCGCAAAAATTCTCATAGGCCGTAGAAGGTAATGGAAGGTTTTTTTTTTTTTTTTTTTTTTTTTCTGAATCGGTCTAAGTCCATTCGCCGCACTTGCCCCATTGGAGGCTGTAACTTGCAGCCGAAACATTGGGCGAAACGCCCCAATCTTCCCTGAATCCTGGCAGGTTTTTTCTGCCATGGTCGGGAAGTTATTTTGTTTTGCAACATGTTGTGAAAGAGGACCTGTGGGAGTTCAGCTTCTTTAGAGGGTTCGAATGAATTTGGTTATATTTGGTTCGAGGTGCAAGGACAGGATGCTGGGATTTGGGGGGGTTTCGGGTTTAGGGTTTAGGGAGGTTGAGGGTTTAGGTTGAGGGTGCAGGGTTCAGGGTTAGGTCTTCGAGTTTAGGATGCAAAATTCAGCGGTTCAGGGTTTGCTAAATGGTCCACGTGCACCATCACGCGGGGCGGTTTAAGTTTAGCTGCTATTGATCACTCCGTGGCGGGGTCACGGGGCTAGAAGCACTTGTCGCCTGACCACGTGTCATTGTCATCATCTTTTCGCTTGTATGTCAGGGAGGGGGGAGGAAGGGGGACGAGGGGGCAGGAGGGGGGAGGAGGGGGAGCAGGGGGAGGAGGGGGAGGAGAGGAGGAGGGTGAGGAGGGCAGGGAGGAAGGGGGAGGAGGGGTTCGTGAATCAAATGCACTTCACCTTCGTGCACGTGGCAAGAGTACAATGTGTCGAAAGCGCAGGGCCCCTTGCCCCGCTGCTACCTTGTTTTTGCCGTCCATCATTGGGAGCATCCACTGGTCAATCTGTCTTCATGGAAGGTGGTGAACAACGTGAATGCGGCGATTGTCGGCGAGCTGCGGCAGGCCTTGGGCCACAAAAAGTTCCAACATGAGGACTCAAGTCGTGCCAAAGTCCTGCATGTCGGACGGACCCTCGAAAAATGCCACGTTCAATGATGGGCTTAGTTTGGAAGCGGGAAGGACGCAAGATGACACAACTTCAACTCCAGTGAGGGTTGCGCAAGTCAGCGTAGCATGCTTGGTGTACGACGCTTGATGCTGACAATGCTGATTTCAGAGCACAGGTCCTTGAACTCGTAAACACGCACAACATCTCGGGCCTCTAGGGTCTATGGAGCCACACGGCCTGAGTGCTGGAGCCAATTTATCATGATTGATCCAAGAGAGTTCGCAAAAAAAAACAAGCATCAAGCTTGATGGGGCGTTTGTCACAGCATAGCAGTCTATGGAATTTTAGGGGTCAAGGAAGGTGACCGGTATGAGTCTACGAGCCAACATCTTAGAACGAATTCGATCCACCCCGGAAGCATCTGTGTTTCCTGTTTCCAATTTTGCCAGGATGGACTGCGCACCACATCGTTTCTCACTAATGTTTTTTGCTTGATGCGGAGGTCCCTCTGACACCGCACAAACTGTGACATGGGGGCGAAACGGCCGGGTGCGGTGCATCGGCAGAGACATGCCTGACGCTGAAAACATCCAAAACCTTTTGTGGGCGTTCCATTCTTTGGAACCTGCTTAGCCTGCACTGCCCATGGGTAAATATCCAAGCAGCAAGGCTTGTAGTGACAAGCTGGCAACCGGACAAACAACAGTTGCGTTAGGGCAATCCATAGACCAGAATGGTAAGGTGGTCAAAAGCAATTTACTGAGTGTAGGTCAAGCCACAACCGGTGCTGTAAAGACTCGTCGGTATCAGAATCAGGGCTTCACCTCCATTCTTGGAGAAATCCGTGATCCTCAGAACTGTCACAGGCGCTTGCCAGCAATCTTTCCGACAGCCGCCGCGTGTACTCGAACTGGCTGTCTCATCCAAAGAATCTGGTGGCGTGCCCAGTTGTGTACAGGCATGTACAGCATCATGCAGCATCTCCAGTGTGTGGTGAGATGATGGGTTGCAGGTCTGCGGTGCCTTTGCTGCGATTACTAGCTGTCATGGTCAGGTCGTGCCCAAAAATGGGGATCACCCGCTGGCATCGCTCTTTTTGGATCAGGCCTGCCCTCTATGGGAAGCAAGCAACAGTCCCCACTGCCTGACACAAAGCGCGGGGATACGCTCAAAGCCAAACAGTTCGAATGCTGTAGGATGGCAAGCTGCGCAGCCCTCTGACTGCAGCGCTGAGCTGGCCACACTCCATGCTCCGCAGATGCGCTTGGTGCTTTTGTCATGAATCTTTTTCGTACCTTAGGAAATCATCCTTCCAAGATATCCGTCAGCATGAAGCAACGACCAGGAACAACCTGCAGCAGTGTCTGGACAATTTGGACAAGCTGAAGGACTGGATTTGCCGGTCACGCTGTGCATGTACCGAGCTGGGAGCAGGTGACACAAGCTAATCTCCTGACCAGGCATGAGTGGGCTGACTAGTTGATTCGATGCTCGCGATGCTCGTTCCGGGCATCCGAAAAGTCGAAAATGGTTGTAAACGCTTGCGCGCGCCGCCTCGGCAGCCGAGCCGGCCCAGAGCATGCAGTATGCGGAGATGACGTTGGCCTGGAGGCGCCCCGCTGCAGGTCCCAGGTGGGTGCCGGGAGGTCCCACAAGAGGGGGGGTCCACCAAGCCTCTGTAGGAGCCGTCAACAGGAGGGACCCTCCACGGCATCGTTTGCAGCTGCTCCAGGCGATCGGGGGTGGGGTCCCACAGGGAGGGGGGGGGGTGCGTCACAAAATTCTGCAAGGGTTGGGTTAGGGGGAAGCAGACCGGGTCTGCTTGTTCCAGACGCTTCTCGAAAGGAAGCCGAGGCGAATTCAACACAAGCCTGTTTCAGGGGTCTGGAATGCCGAGCGCAAGTTGGTGCCTGCCAGAACACTGCACGAGAGGTCAGTAGCACAGGCTAGACCAAGGGCAGCAAGCAGACCCGGGAACGGCCAACAGACCTTTGAACCCCTGAAGGCAACTGTAAATACAGCGAGGTGCTCCTGCGTTCCTACAACCGCTACCCTTATCACCCTTGCCCTGTCCCAAAGTCAGCGTCATTGACACCTGTGCAACAACCATCATCGGCCCATCATTTCCCACGAAAGCTAGCTCCTTTGCTTTGGAGCTCGCGGGAGTTTTGTTTACAACCCGCTTGTTTAGGGACAAATAGGACTTCAGGGTCTTAGTCTTTGATGAAACAGGTATTCGGGGGGGATGGGGCGTGGGGAATATGGGAGGGTCCCTTCCCTTGAGGCCCCCCCCAACCTATGCTGACCTTTTTCCTACTCTATTAACGTGCAGTGATGTTTTGTTGCCCCGCAGCGTCACACGTGCAAGACTATCTGTGTTGTGCGTGCCAACCGTAGCGCCACAATTGCAAGAATGTTTGTCATGCGATCTTGAGAGAAAACTGTGATGTTGTTTGCTGTTTGTGTTGCGCCGTCGGGACGCATGTGCGAGGATGTTTACTTTGGAAGCCGGACACTCAAACCCCAAGATCCTCCAGAGACGCACACAGACAGCCCATCTTCGGGAACCCAGCTGCTTAGCTTTCGTCCGCCCTGCTCTCGAGTAATGTTTCTCTTGTCGCCGCGAAGCTTTGGCTGGTGCTAAGGGGTGGAGAGTGGAGCCAGTGTATTGGTCTGGTTCGAGGTTTTTGTTAGTGTTAGGTCTGTAGGGTTTGCGGCTCTTGTTAGGGTTCTTGGCTTGTTTCATGCACTGACTTCGACAGTGCTCCTTCTGCGCTTGACTTGCTGTTTCCGATACACGTCTTTGCTTTTTGTCGCGCTTCCGTCCGTTTCTATGGAGTTGGCAACAACGGCAAGAACACCAGCCATCAAATGGACGTGCAAAACATGGGTCTGAGTCAAAGTTTCAAGACCCTGTCGGGCATCCTGTGCCCTGTGCTTCGTGCATATGTTTGCTTGCCTTATACTCTGCACAGGAGACAGTGGAGGAGGCCTTTGATGAGTACTTCCCGAGTGAAGGTCCGGACAAGGCACGTGGGCACTCTTTGGCGGTGGAGCACAGCAAAAACACAGCACGATTCCATTGTACAGGGCGGCAAAAGAAGGCATGCACTTAGCACGTATCTTGAATTCGTGTGGCGAGCACTGCGAGCACTTGTGACCTTGTGCTGGTGCTTCTGAAAGGTGGGTCACAGGTCGCTGCGCTGAAACTTATGGGACTCGGCAAGTAACTAGAAAAGACCACAAAGAAAAAACAAGTAAAAAAGTAATGAGTGGGCTTTGGCCTCAGTTTTGTAAAGGAGCAGCCCGAGGCTTGCACGAGTCCGAAGCCATTCTAGTCTTCAGAACCCAGCCCTAAGCCAAAGACGCGACTATCTGATTGCCAGCGACTCGTCACGCTGCAGGAAAGATGTGTGGTAGGAACCTGCAACATGTTCGGAGCGGAAATGGAGAGTCAGGGGTCCACAGCCCGCAGCAGCAAATGGAAATAGCTGGTGGTCTTGCATGCTTCAGTGCTCGCAGTGCTCGCTTCCGCAGCCGCACACTGCTTTGCTTTGGAATCTGCATGGCTGACAGCTTCAGGACAAGCACGAGATGTTCCGACACTGCATTTCTGCACTTGGGGCATCGAAGGCCGCGGTCTCTACACTTCTTCTCTAACTTGTTAAGTGATGTTCAGTGCAAGTTCAGGCTGACCTGGAGGCTCTGCATTCCAGTCAGTGCAAGGACGGCCGGGAGCTCTGGGCTAGGGTGATCCTGTGTGGGTTTGTTTGCGTCAAGGTTCCCGCTTCCTGTTCGTTTACGATGTTAACACCCTGCCTCGTAGAGACAACTCGGCTACATTCGTCGTGCCCCGGCAATGCCAAGACATTAGCTACATGGCCTCAAGGCCCGAGGAGGCAACATCGTGCAACAGCGCAGGAAGCACTCGCAATCCCGCACAGTGCCCATGAGGTCTGAACATCTTGAAGATCCATCTGCGACCCATGCTGGAGCCCCTTGACAGGCTAGACTACTACATCTCGGAGGTGCAAACGGCGGAGCATGGCGGAACGTGCTCACTGATACCAAGCAACAGCAGCCTTGACAGGCCCAGTACGCTGACTTTCAGGTGAACGATCCCTTTGCAAAGGAGTGGTCGCTGTGCGCAAGATTCGTTTTCAGGAAGATCATAAAGCAGACGAATCGAGAATGCACGTCTGTCTGCAGTTGCCAGGCTTTCAATGCCCAAGCAGACATCATTCATCAGCACATCAAGGCGTTGGTTGCAACTGTCCAGCAGTGCACTTCTTCGCGGGTCCGTGGCAAGACTTTCTTGATGTCTCGCCCCACACACCAGAATCCAAATCACAGAAAGGGGAGAAAAATGAGACAGGAGAGGAAGATGAGAGGGGGAGATTGTGCTTCACAGCAAGGTCTCCTCAGAGTATGAAGGGCAGCCATGACTTGTGAAGTAGAGTTGATTTGTTACATCAATGTTCGAAGCACTCAGGGTAATCATGTCCTATATGGTCGTTTGAGGCAAAGCTATGTAACAAAACAGGCAGTAGCATTCTTCGCAGGCCTCACTTGAAGCATTTGTCGATGTGGCTTGGGTTGGGTTCGGCAGTACTTCCGGCTCTTTCTCTGGGGCATGTACTGGCAGAGTGGAGTTCTGATAGTTGCCCGGATATTTTTCAAAGCGAACACGCGAACATATGCTTGTAGCAGCATGATCCAAGCATGATTCCTCTCTTCAGTATTAGGTTGCTTGGGGTTGGGGCCGGGGGGAGGAGGGGGCCACTCCTGCTTTGGGCCCAGTTCTGCACCCATTTTGCGTGACCGAAGGGGGCTGTTCCTAACCAGGTCTTGGATCAGGTTTGCAAAACAGTTTGTGATGATGCTACTGCCCATCATCCTTGAACCCTGAAGGCACGTTGCTAGGCTGCGCTAGGATAATTCAATCCCTGCCGAAAGTCGTGATCTCATTGCACGGCATGATTCAACCAGGAGTGCTGAGACAGTGGGTCAGCCTCGGAACTTGAATTATTTGGGGCATGTTTTGTTGTTTGGCTGGTTTTTGGCCCCACTGCTTTTTTCGTGTTTTGGTCATGTTTTCTTGGCAAGGTTTCCTGATGGAGTGAGTAGGCATTTGCGCTCAAGAACTTCATGTCGTTCATGGACCCGTCCTTTATTGGCGAATTGAAGGTAGCTGAAGAGCTGACACGCGCGATTAATGCAACATTTCATGACGACAAACCTGACATGGAAAGAAGAAGTGTGAAGTTGTATTCAATAATGAATAGTTGCCTAGGCAACAGGCCGCTGAAGTTTCTTAGAAGCGCGACAGCGAAAGATGGGCGCGAAACTTGAAGAGAGTTGTCAAGTGAGCTTGGGCCAAGTAGTCGGAGGAACTTCCGATGGCGCAGGCCATCCGGCAATGACCAAGGAGCGAGCTTGATGGACTACATCTTGACGTACGAGTACGAAAGATTGAGCGGAGTGAATGAAGTATGACCGCAAGGAATTCCGCAGGAATGATCAACCCAGATTATGCACACGTCCTCCTCGGGTGTCCATCCTAACATGGACAGGTGCTGTACAGTTTTTCGGGTTTAGGGCCTTTTTGGGTTTAGGGTTTGTAGGGTTTAGGAATGTTTAGGGTTTAGGATTGTTAGGGTCTAGAGCTTTTTAGGGTGTAGGGTTGTTAGGGTTTGGGATGCTTAGGATTTCGAGGCTTTAGGGTTTCGGGGTTTTCGGGTTTTAGTGTTTAGGGTGTTTAGGGTGTTTAGGGTGTTTAGGGTGTTTAGGGTGTTTAGGGTGTATAGGGTGTATAGGGTGTTAAGGGTGTTAAGGGCGTTAAGGGTGTTAAGGGTTTAGGGTGTTTAGGGTGTTTAGGGTGTTCAGGGTGTTCAGGGTGTTCAGGGTGTTCAGGGTGTTCAGGGTGTTCAGGGTGTTCAGGGTGTTTAGGGTTCAGGGCGTTTAGGGTGTGTCTGGTTCAGGGAATTTTTGGTTTAGGGTTTTAGGCTTTTAGGGATTAGGGATTTTGAGGTTTAGGTTTCAGGGTTTAGAGTTTTTAGGCTTTAGGGATTTTAGGGTTCAGGGTTTTTAGGGTTTAGGTGTGTGAGGCTTTATGGTTTTTAGGGGTTTTAGGGTTTTTAGGGTTTTTAGGGTTCTTGGGTTTTTAGGGTTTTTAGGGTTTTTAGGGTTTTTAGGGTTTTTAGGGTTGGGGCTTTTAGGGCTTTTAGGGCTTTGAGGGCTTTTCGGGTTTTTAGGGTTTTTAGTTTTCTTTTTTTTGGGGTTTTTAGGGTTTTTAGGGTTTTTAGGGTTTTTAGGGTTTGTAGGGTTTTTAGGGTTTTTAGGGTTTTTTTAGGGTTTTTAGGGCTTTTTAGGGGCTTTTTAGGGCTTTTAGGGCTTTTAGGGTTTTAGGGTTTTTAGGCTTTTTAGGGTTAGGCTATGTAGGGTTTAGGGATTTTTCGGGTTCAAGGGTTTTTCGGGTTTTCGGGTTTAGGGTTTTAGGGTTTTAGGTTTTGCTGTAGAATGGCTTAGACGCTGTGAAGGTTAGGATGCAGAATAGGCTCGAAAGCTTCGTCGCGTGCGAAGAGCAGCCGCGGCCCGATCGTGGAGGGCCATCTAACGCTTTCTCCCGCCCCACGCCGTCTAAACCCCAACCTAGTCCGTTTAAGGCTTTGGCTTAAACTCAAGTCAATTGGCTACTTCCAGAACCACTTCTTCCGTGACCGATGCTAATTCGGGCGGGGTGCCAGGTGGGGGGCAAGGGCTGCCCACAGGTCTAGTGGTTCGTTCAGGAACGTCCAAGCTGTCCAGGGTTTGAAGTATAGGCGCCTGTCGATCGGGGTTTTAGGATTGAGGGAGTTTAGGGGGAGTGTGGTTTAGGGTGTTTGGGGGTTAGGGTTTGAGGCGTTTGGGGTGTTTGGCAATCGGGGTGGTAGGGTGGTTAGGGTTTGGGGTGTGTAGGGTTTAGTGTTCAGGGTTTTGTTTAGGGGTTTCGGGTGTTTCAGGGTTCAGAGTGTTTGGGGTCTAGGCTTTTTTGGTTTTAGGGTGGTTAGTATTTAGCGTGTAGGGTTTGGGGTGGGTTCAAGGTGTTGAGGGGCTCGGGAAGTTGAGGCTTTGGGGTGTCTGTAGCAGGCAACTATGCAAAGCGTTTAACTGGAGCGCGCGAGTACAGTCGTTTTGAGGCAGCCTCCGGCTCATCAACAGGGCAGGGGCAGGCATGGAAACACCTCACAAGAGAAGCGCCTTCTCCTGCGCGATGCAGTGCTCAGAACTGGTGCGTTGGAAAAAATCTTACCTTCGTGAAGACATATTGTCCCCCCGTTCGCTCAACGCCTGTCTGCGCAACTTGAGTTCAGGACACTCTGCTTCTTGAACCCATGATGAAGGGACCATGTTGCGAGCCGTGGTGGGAGTGCCATTTTTGCAGCGTTGTATGGTACCACCCACCATGTTTGAGTAGCCGAAAGAACATATATTCCCATCATGGACGGAGGGGCTCGCGCCTGCTTCCACTCCTGGCCAACCAAGAAATCTGCAGCGCCCGCAGAAATCGGGGATCGCTGAACGCAGAAATCGGGGATCGCTGAAGTCTTCCAGAGGAAACTTTCAACGTGCGCTAACAGTGCGACCGTACTCATCACCTACCTTCTGTGTCTGCTCACCAACAACTTTTGCAGTCTCCGCTCGTCTGGCTGTGTCTACGCACCAACAACTTTTGGAGTTTGCTTCGCAGCCTTCCCCTGGGCAAGACAAACGCAGTGGGATGCAAAAAGATTGCGCGCGCCTCATACCTCATACCTCATATATTCCTCATACCTCATACCTCATACCTCGTACCTAGTACTTCATACCGGATGGTGAGATCATACAGCCTGGAGCGTTTTCAGCACTCCTGCTTGGCACGGTCGACAGACCAGCGCCACACATTTGTGCTGGCCGTGTAGATCCTTGTCACCTGACCTTGAACCTTGGGCGCCCTCACCTCTTGGTGGGCTCTAGTGGCCGGCGTGGCAGGTGTCTCTGCAGATGCGACACAGGTTCTACAGGTTAAGTGGGTGTTACGTTTTAAACCCCAACAAAGCTTGCAAATCAGCTCCCTGGCTGATCAAGCCAGCTCGCTTCGAGATGTAATTGACTACAACGTCTAAGATGCCGGCAAACTACAAACAAATGCACGCGTTTAGGGTCTTCGAGTGTTAGGGTGGCCTGGCCGGTTTACCCCCGGCGCACAAGGGGGTGCTGCAGGACATCTGCGCACGGGTTCGGGACTATAGCTTAATTAGGGTACCTTAAACCAGAGGGTACGCGCCTTAGCACGGACAAGGAGCAAGTTCATCACCATCGCTCCTCCTGTGCTTGGCAATTAAATTTGGGCTGAGTGCGCGTATGCTCTTCGCGAGCGGCGCAACACGTTCTAGCGCACTTATGCTCTTCACGAGCGGCGCAACTTGCAAATACACGCGGTTGGTGCAAGAACGGCGTCAGCGTGTGGCAAGCGGATACCTTGAAGAACCTCGAGTGCTGCGCTGGTCCGCTTGGCAAGCCGGTTCTCGTCCTGGGCGGGAAGAGGAGGCAGGGTAACGTGAGGACCTGAAGCCTGCGACGTGTGCTGCGCTGCCTGCGCCACCTGAAGCCTCGGAAGAACTAGCTACGGGCTTCTCGTGGTCCTGTGCATCCTGCTCCTCCTCATCCTGTGAGTCTTGCTCCTCCTCATCCTGCTCACTCTGTGAGGTTTGTGAGCTATGCTGCTCACCTTGAACTTCATTCTTGTGAGCCTGCCGCGAGCAGCTCAGCGTGAACTAGCGTCTCCATCTCTGCAAGCAAGTGACGATGGTACTCTAGCACGGCTTCAACATGGTACGAAGCGTGAAAGTCCTGAATTTCCCTTCTTCATGCTGCGCAAGGCCAAGTCTATCGTCGAGAGACTCTGGCACAGGACCGTGGTATCTGGAGGAGACATTTTGTAATCCAAACACCTGTGATACCAGCGTATCCAATCACGCAAGGCTTTCAAGGCAAGCGCTGGAGACTTGGCTGCGAGGGGCTCCTGGAGATGTTTTTGGACGAGGGCTTTCTCTGATCCTCCTGCTAACTGAAACACTGTCTGGCTGTCTGGAGTCTAAGAAGGATACCGGAGCTGACCGGATGTGTTCCTTCGAAATATGATATCGGACTTGATGGATTCTGGGAGTGCTGCCATCAACATGCCGCAAGCCCTAAGGTTGACACGAGCCCATTTTCCTACGAGCAAGTCCGAAGCACCTACTGGCCCAACCCCCACCCAACCTATCCATCGGGGAGGAGGCAATCCAAACTGCATAGGCTTCATCTACTACCAGACACACTTTGGCCCGCCGCACGGATGCGGAGTCTGAAACATCACCAGAAACCTCCAATCACAACCAGCCAATCCTGATACGCGCGTGAGCCCTCATCCGATTTAGGCTCTGCGCAGGGAGACTTTCGATGCCTGGCTTCACTGTTTCGGGCTTTGTAGGGGAAGCGCTTCCACCACGATCACTTCCCTTAACAACCCCGGCCACGACGTCCTGCAGTTGTTGCGTTTCCGCAAGGGTGGCGTCGCGTTCTCAAAACCCCTGTTGGATGACACAGATTTGTCACGGGTCTCTGCGCAATGCCTGACGCTCGGCCGGCGAGACCAGCTTGGCCCACAGCAGGCGAGGGGGGCGCAGGTTGAACAAGGGCATTTGTGGGATTCAGGCGGGGCGTTGGGAGAACCGGCGGCGCGCTCGGCAACCAGACCCGCTATCGCCCACTATCCTTGAGCCTGGGCCTCAAGTTGAGACCAGAATCTCGCGTTTGAGAGTTCAGTTCCTGCCTCATTCCTGCCAACTGTCTTGCTACTTCAGACGCGGGATATACGAGGGCTCTGTAGGAGGTGAACCGTACAACGACGGGGCCCGGGGCCCTTTGCTCCACAGCCGTCATCTGTTGCAAAGTTGCACAGTTGAACGTTTGTCCTGATGAACCTCCCTGTTGCATGACGCGGCCAGGAGCAGGCGTGATTGGCTGCGCAGCTCCGCTAACGCCAAACAAGGACTGCGCCCTTCCAAAGAAGGTGTGAGCTCCAGCTTGCGCGACAGCGGACACCTCATGCAGCGTCGATCTCGGCGTATCTGATAGCCTGGTCCGGTTTCACCGTGCGGGCTCGGCTGCAGAAGGCTTCTGCCCTGAACCGCCCGCCGTGGCATCAATCTCACTATCTTGTACAGGGACTAACCCTCGATCCTGTACCTCAGTGGTTGCAGTACCATGCGCCCCAAATGCATCCGCCTGCCTCTCAGCGAAACCTCTCATCAATGCTCCTTCGCCCAAGCCTCCGTCCAAGTGTTGCGTTCCATCATCTGCTGTCCGAACCTGTTGCGTCGACGAAGAAGATGGCGCAAAACAGCTGTGGAAGTCGCTGGCGGCAGCATCGACGCACCACCAAGAGCTGGGCCCTGTGCCTTCGCAAAGAAGGACCCCAACAAGGTCATCGCTGCGCTGGTGCTGGCTACCCTGGTGACATCCGGGAGATCCTCGAGAGTAGCGCTCAGGGGCTACACGGATAACAAGTCCAATGATTCGCTACTGAGGAAAGCGATGACGACAAAGTCCCCCTCGACGCTCGACGATGACTTGACCAATGAGAAATTTGCCAGTTCCTCAGGTTGAGAGTGGATCTGAAGGGGGAGCTAGAGTGGACCTTCTCGGACTTGCTGGGGAGCTGTACTAGGAAGAGCTCGGCCAGAAGAAGCGCGCGAAAGATCCGCAGCTAGGGCGCTTCGTGAAGAGAGTCCGAAAGCTAGCGCCTTGGTAGCTCGCGTGGCTGCGCAGGGGGAAATCCATACTGCTAGAGCAGATGGACCTCCGAGCTACGAGTGGGATCGCTCCACGCGATTAAAAAGACCAAGTGCTAGCGAGTGTTTTGTTTGCGCGAGGGAATGAGTTAAACTAGGATATTTCGTCTCGCTGCTATTGATCAGTTCCCCTGGTGGTGTGGAGGGGGGATGTCGAGAGTCGGTCGTCGCTTGATAAAAGCATCGAAGGTGTTTTTCCCCCGTACCTCGAAGTGCTAAAGGTTTTCTTTCTACACGGCACTACAAGGGTGATGGCCAGGAGAGCCCTTTCCTGGTGCTGCCTGAGAGTGCTATGAGAGAACATGTCTCATGGCGGCAGCTTTGCAAGAGTGTCGTGCTAGTGATGTCTTGTCAGTGATGGAATTGCTGAGCTATGTCTGTGGACTCCATGTACATGCGTACACTTGTGCTACAAGCAGAGCATGTCCATGACAGCGGAGTCAGGCCAAATAGCCTTTCTTGTGTGGCCATTTTACAAGACCCCGGAGTGGGGGGGCAATCTCAAAGTGCCCGCCCAACCCACCCGGGGAAATCCATGCTGCTAGAGCAGATGGACCTCCGAGCTACACGAGTGCATTCGCTCCACGCGATTAAAAAGACCAAGTGCTAGCGAGTGTTTGGTTTGCGCGATGCTATTCCGTCTCGCTGCTATTGATCAGTTCCCCTGTCCCCGCCCAGTGGTGTGTGGGGCTGGAGGGGGGGATGTCGAGAGTCGGCTAGTGTACTTGTTGGTGAGTGTTGGAGAGTCTAGGCCGTATATGATGGTCGGTGTAAGAATGGAGGCTTCAGGGTTTGCAGGGTTCAGGCTTTATCGGGCTCAGGACGTTAAGGGTTTTTAGGGTAGTTTTTTCAAGGTTTAGATTTTAGGGTTTCAGGGTTTTAGGTGTGCGTGTTTAAAGGCTAGGGTGTTTAGGGTTTTGGGGGGTTCGGGTTAGGGTGGGTGTCTAGGGTAGGGTTTAGGGTGGTTAGAGTGTGTAGGTTTTCAGGGTTTGCAGGGCTTAGTTAGGGTTTGGGGGTGTTTCGGTTTTCAGGTGTTCAGGGTTTCGGTTGTTTTGCGCGTAGTGTGCAGGGTTCAGATGGGTTCAGGGTGTTTAGGCTTTAGGTGTGTAGGGTTCCGGGTGTTTCAGGTTTAGGGAGGGTGTGGATGTTTAGCAGGGTGCTTAGGGTCTCGGCTGTTTAGGATTCAGGTTGTTTAGTGTTTAGGGTGTTTACGGTTAAGGTGTTTAGGGCTTGGGGGTTTAGGGGGTAGGATGTTTAGGGTTTAGGTTGTTTGAGACGAGGTCAAAATTTCCGCTTGCTTATTTTAGTAGAGGGGGTAGTTGTTGCAGCAAAACGCCGAGGATCGATAGGGGACGCTGTAAAATAATAGGGTTGTTTGATACGATAGGATAAAAAAGTGCGGTAGGTGAGAACATGGAAAACGATAGGGGACGTGCTTATTCAAAACAAGCAAGACTCAAACAAATAATTTTGACACCGACTCATTTAGGTCTTAGGGTGTTTGAGTGTTTGGGGTTTAGGGTGTTTAGGGTTTAGGGTGTTGAGGGTTGAGGCTGGGCGTGCAGGATTTGGGTGTGCAGGGCTCGGGGTGTTTAGGGTTTAGGGTGTTCAGGGTTGGGGGATTGTTTTGCAGTAGTGTTTTCAGGTTTAGGGTGCTGAGGGTTGAGGTTGTCTTAGGGTTTAGGGGTGTTTTAGTCTGTTTCGGGTTCAGGGCGTTTAGGGTTCGGGGTGTTTCGGGTTTAGGGTGTTCAGAACTGAGGGAGTGTTTCGGTTTAGGCTTTTTAGGGCTCAGGGTGTTGCAGGTTTAAATAGGTTGTGTAGGGTTTAGGGTGTTTTATCCTATTTGGGGTTTAGCGTGTTAGGGTTTGGGTGTTTAGGGTTTCGGGTGTTAGGGTTTAGGGTGTTTAGGGCGGACGGGCCCGAAAAACGTCACCCATAAACGAGGCTTGCTTGGGTCAGTGAGGCCTCATATAGCCGGTGTATGTGCGATGAAGTCACGTTCCGCGGGTTTCGACTTGTGGATTCCGGCGCAGCTAGGTTCCGGCGATCGGCCTGGTAGGTACGTGTATCATTGCCTACGCAGCCCGCCTTCAACGGTTTTGTCGAGGCACGTGCCTCCTGCTCGGACCCACAACCTGTAACAAATCCCGCTCGCAGCAGAGGCACTTGCTCCCCAAACTACAGAAACTCCATACCGACCTGTTGTGGGCCCGCTTTGGTCCCAAATGGCTCGGCCTTGCTGGCTACGTTCAGGAAGTGCTGTGTGACGCGCAACTCTTTCTGTGATTGGTAAACGTGTCGTTTGGTGGAAAGGGGTGCAGCACCATCGCTGTAAGACCACCGCGACACGCCTGGCCAGTTCCTCCATGCATTGCGTGTGTTCGGTCAGACCCATCAATCCGCCTTCGGTAGCCGAGTCTCAATAACGAAATCGAGCTTTGTGTTCTTTGGAGGCCATCGCAACGATGTGCCCCTGTCTGGCCTCATCTAACCGAATCTGACCCGACAGTACCGACGAACTACACGACAAACTGAAAGTTTCGGGACTTGGTCTTGCAAAGCAATCTCATAGCACCTCATAGATATATACATATATGAAAACATATGTATATATATGTATGGTGCGGAACGGAATGTCCTCGACAACCCCCGCCTCCAAAGGCTTTCCACCGGTTTTTCAAACAAACATCCTCGAGTGCAAATCAATCTTATGGGGCGACAGGGTGTGCAAGACCAGCCGCTGCGTCCGGCGGATGCGCGAAGTTGGGTTAATGCTGTGACAGTTCTTATGAGAACCACTGGGGGGCACTCGGGCGGGGTTTTTATGAGGTTGGTTCTTGGGTTCACCATGTGGATCTTTTGCAACTTCAATGCGGCTTTTGTGAATCCGTTAGTGCAGTTACCCGGAGCTGCATATTTCCAAACCATGTCAAGGAATGTGGCCATGGGTCGGGGCCATGTAGAGTTTTTAAGCAACATTTGTGATTCAGGTCCGAATTCATTGATGGGGCTTCTGTGTATTATTATTGCCGCCGGAATGCCTGATACTGCACAGTTCTGCTCTGGTCAGCGGCGTTTGTGGGATAACCTTCTGAAGCACCCACGTCACCCCGCGATCGAGTCGACCCATCGTTTCCAGACGTTTGAGTTTGCAGTCTACACTCTCGAGCATTTTGGTCTTGTCAACGCGAAGGCTGTCCTGAATCCATCATCTGCCGAAGAGATCATGCAGCGGCTTGGCCTTTCTTTGAAGGAGCGTTGCATCATCCACAGTACTTAAGCAAGGCGATGTGCATCGTTTCAGGCAAATGGCCGAGCAAACATGCCGCCGGATCGAGAAGGTGCCGGCTGGTTGTGGTTCAGGATCAGGACCTTTGGTTTCTGTTGGACGTTAGTTTTCTCCGGGTTTGGCATTGAAGTTGTAGTTCGTGTCAAAATGTTCGCCCGCCCGATAAATCGATTTGGAGATCAAGGTAAACAAATTCGAGAAAACAAGCATGGCCCGATTCAGAACCCCAAAATGACGAACACAGGTTTGTTTAGGGTTCAGGGCTTTCAGGGCTCACATGTTTTGGAGTTATTAGGGCCAGGGATTCGAGAGTTTAGGATTTTAGTTGTGATACCAAGGTGTACTTTGACAATCCTGGTTTCCATTGTCTCTGCAAAGTTTCCTGTCTGTGCCGTTGTGTGCGTGGCTGCACGGTGCTGTCACAGGCTGCGCTCTCCAAGAACTTCAGCTTGTTTGGTGCGCTGCAGTTCGAAAGCGATGTGGGGGTCTTGAGACACTTGTGTGATTGCGGACACATGGGACCTGGGAATGCAGGGTATGCAGAGTATGCAGAGTTGCAGCCCAAGGTCCGAGCAATATGCTCTTTCTTCACAAGCGTCAGTGAGCAGGCTGGGGCAAACTCCTAGCGCCCCGGAGCTGCGATCATGCATGGCATTAGCAGTGTTAATCAGTGCTAGCATGTAGAGATGGATGCGTTCCTGATGCCCACAACCGTTGCTGCACCGATTTTTCGATCATCCTGAATCATCCTGGTCCTACCATCTCCCCGTCACGCCCGGAAATGCCTTCGTGACTGCCGAACTTGTGCAGGCCTTGAGGCACAAGTTCGCAAGGCTGTTTGAGATGTCTAGTCTGTCATGACCTTAGTTACATTGGCAGCACGAGGCCAGAGGCATGAGCGATCATGAGCCTTCTTGAGGCTTAACTTGGAGAGCTTGGACGAGCTGCGCGAGCTGTGCAGCGAGTTAAGGCGACACACTTCTGTGCCAGGGCGCATGTGTGCGCTCTTGTGGATGTCCCCGCGCATAAGCGCACCTAAATGGGTCTGCGGCGTGCGTGGGTGAACTGCCCGTGCGTGCGTGTGTGCTTGCGCAAATGCATTCGCGGAAGGGCGGGCGTGGTCACGCGGGTGGGCGTGGGTGGGTGTGGTGTGGTGTCGTGTGGGGTCGTGTGGTGTCGTGTGGTGTCGTGTGGTGTCGTGTTGTGTCGTGTGGTGTCGTGCGGTGTGGTGTGGTGTCGTGTGGTGTCGCGTGGTCTCGTGTCGTCTCGTGTGGTGTCGTGTGGTGTCGTGTGGTGTCGTGTGGTGTCGTGTGGGGTCGTGTGGTGTCCCGTGGTGTCGTGTCGTGTGGTGTCGTGTGGCATCATGTGGTGTCGTGTCGTGTCATGTCGTGTCGTGTGGTGGGGTGCAAAAACCCACATTTTTAACACTTTTTAGTCTAGGCATCCGGCCACAGGCAATCTCTGGACTCTGTAGTCGCTAATTCGCCCCTGCTGTCTCTAGCTATAGGGCGGGCCCCCGCAGTCTTTAGTCCAGAGCAGTCGCTAGTTTAGGGGCTCTCCGCCCTGTTTAGGCCTCCAACCCCTGGCAGTCTTTACATCCCAAAGCTATTTTCACACGTGTTGCAAACGTGTCATCGAAACAATGCTTCGCTCGACCACACGTTGCAAAAGTGTCTTCCAGGGAGGTGCCCGTAAAGGTTTCGGCGAAGTTTGTTATATGTTTAAACAGCAGCGACTGTGGTAACAATGCACGTCGACGACGATGCAGTATAAAATTCAAGCGTCCAATGGTGCTCTTGCCCCCTGCTTCTGAAAAAGCGTTGTCATCGAGCATGTTGGAGATGCACTCCAATCATGTCAGGCGTGTTTTTTCTCAATTGCGCCGATGCTGCTCTGATGCGCCACATCCAGTGCTTTTACCTACTGACTTTGCGCGGCTCATATCATTGTAACGCTTCTCTTCCATGCGATGCGCAGCTCCTGCCCCTAAGCCAAGATTATCACATGGATAACAGCATTCAAGAAACAGAGCGTCATGCAGCGTGTACCGCAGTTTCCCGACACACAGACACACACAGAGTTGTGGTTAATTAAAGATTGGTGTGTCTCTGGTACAACAGCGGAACAAGCAGGAGCAAAACAGACACGCACCCGTACTACAGCATGGCCACAACGAAACATCAACAAAATCAACACATCGAACGCGGCAATCACACTTGCATACAGGCCAATCAGATCCTTGGTTTGCACATTGCCCAAGGTCCGGGCTTCAAAACTACTACTGGAGTTTGACTGCCAGGTTCCTAAACGCAATACTGGTCAGATGCCAGCTCTCAAACCGGAACACTCCGTCCGGTCTGGCATGACTTCAGATTCGATTTGTCACACGTGCTCTCGCATTGTCAGTGATATTTGGGCAGCACTCTCTCTCTCTCTCTCTCACACACACCCACGCACGCACGCCCGCACGCCCGCCCGCACGCCCGCACGCACGCACGCACGCACGCACGCACCCACACACACACACACACACAGACAGATATATATATATATATATATATAACACGTACATACATACATACATACATCCATCCGTCCATCCATCCATACATACATACGCAACATACGCTACACACAGTCACAAACAAACACACACACACACACACAACACAACCCAACACAACCCAACCCAACACAACACAACACAACACAACCACAACACAACCACAACACAACCACAACACAACCACAACACAACCACGACACAACCACGACACGTCCACAACACAGCCACAACACAGCCACAACACAACCACAACACAAGCACAACACAACCACAACACAACCACAACACAAGCACAACACAACCACAACACAACCACGCCACAACCACACCACAACCACACCACACCACGCCACACCACACCACACCACACCACACGACACGACACGACGCCAAACGACACGACGCGACAACACCAGACAACACAACACAACACAACAGTATCACACCACACCACACCACGCGACACCACACGACACCACACGAGTCGAGACGAGACCACAAGACACCACACGACACCACACCACACCACACGACACCACACGGCACCACATGACACCACACGACAACACACAACACCACACGACACCGCACGACACCACACGACACCACTCGACACCACACGACACCACACCACACCACACGACACCACACGACACCACACCACACCACACGACACCACACGACACCACACGACACCACACGACACTACACGACACCACACGACACCGCACGACACGACACGACACGACACGACACGACACGACACGACACCACATGCGCGGGTACAAGATCTGCGAAATGAGGTCTACGCCTTGGTGCGTCAAATCTGGGTTAACCCGGGTTAGCTGGCCAAGATGTATCAGACTTGAAGCTTAATTGACACTCGCACGCAAAGGTCTCGGTGAGTAGAATTGCGTGTGGAATATTGCAAGGTCTTATTTCACCAAGAAGGCGTTTGAGCTGCAACCGCTTCCCGAAGAACAGGTATTTAAACTTCAACGTTGCCTCAAAATCATCAGGGAGTCCTTGAGTTCGCCCACGAGACCGGCTTTGAGAACCTACCCGCAGTCAAAAGAATCCACAGAGTCGCTGCCAGTACTGACTTGGGTGACTTGCCGCTTCGGCGATAAGGATTCACAACCGTTCCTCGGTCTTTAAGCAATACCGTAAAGTAAGTAAGTAAGTAAGTAAGTAAGTAAGTAAGTAAGTAAGTAAGTAAGTAAGTAAGTAAGTGTAAGTATGTGTGTGTGTGTGTGTGTGTGTCGGCGTGTGTTTGCGTGCGCTTTTCACGGGCTTGGGAACGGGGGTGCAGTTCAAAAAGCTAGTATAGTTGTGTGTATGGTTTAAAAGATGCATGTGATGCATTTTGCGTAGAGTACAGGCATTGAGCCTTGGGACCATGGAAGGACCTGGCGACTTACGCCCGACGAGATGCAGAAACTGCTGCAGTCACGGAAGGACTTTGAAGCCACGGAGGCACACTTCCACGCATGGGACGATTCTATATTTGTTTCTCAGCCGAAACAGTTTTGCCGCAATTGCCAGGATCAGATCAATTACCTGCTGCCAAAGTGAGGCGCTTCCATTCGCTCAGCGCAGCCGGGAAAAAGCGTGTCCTGACATCCAAGCCTAAGTGTCAAAATCTCTTGCGTTGGCTTCACTAGCTTACGAAGTTCTTGGACAAAAAGCGAAAAGGCGACGGTGTTTCGATTTCCGACATTCTGATTGTTCCGACACTGCAGCAGGGTTTCGCGGTGTCTATGTAAGCGGACTGCTTGCACCTTCTGTTGGCGCAGCAGTCGTGTTGTTCCAGCACCTTGAACCCAGCGCTTGAAGGGCGGTTGTTTTCCGATAATTTCCCCAATAAATTGTGATTGAATTACGTTGCAGGATGAAGGTCGCAAACAGTCTGTCATGTTGGGAAGATGGAAGGAAAATCATGAGCACATCGACCATGTTGTACATGCTGACAGTCGCAGGCCCGTGCCCGAAATGAGTCGACCCCATGCCGAGTTCGACTCCCAACTCAGTCCCCACAAGCGTCCCTCGTTTCTACTCATAACGGTGCCATTTAGCATGGTTTCTGCACCGTTCTTGCTTTGATCGCCTAGCGTGTCGTTCGGGGGATGCGGGTGGACTGGTTTCGGGTTTGGGCCAGTAGGCTTGCCTTTCTCCCAAGATTTCAGAAAGAATCCCTTAGATGTAATCCTTTGCCTCGCTGTTGATCCACACGGTGCTCTCGGGGTCGGAATTGCAGGGACGGCCTGGTCGCGCTCAATCGAGCCGACTGCTGCGTCGACGGAGACTCCGCCATCGCAACATGCCGGATCCTGGGCAACCGCGCCGTGCTGACTACCTCGCCTTGATGGCTATTGCAACGTCGCCAGCCAGGAAATGCGCGGATCCAGTGCAGATCCGAGGCACCGGGCTTTCCCACCTCGTGCTCGTTGCGTTGAAATGTGTTCGTGTCTGCGCACGTTTGCGATCGTGCACCATGCATGCCGGCCCTGCCTGAAAATCAGCCTCGCATGTTTGCAGGACCTGTTAACTCAAGCGGCAAAGGGTCAGGCCGCATTGGTATGATCATTGACAAGACTGCTCATCATGCATGATATCCAACTGGATCACGGGGACAGCCCACAGCCGGCTAACATGTATTTCTTGTCGTAAGTAATTAGAACCGACCCTGCAAACAAGGACTTCGTGAACCAATTGACTGTGGTGTTGTCGCAGTCTTCATGCGTGCATCGATGGCATCCTCCTGCTGCTGTGTAATGCCGACTTCTTTAGCATTCTGGATCAACGCAGCCCAAATGTGCACATGAGGAGGGCCCGGGCGCGCACCTGTTCAGCGAACGCCTGTGATGCCGCCATCGCTGCCTGAACAGCCTCCACTAAACTGGGGCACGAGGCACGTGCGGAATGCTACGGACTGGAGTACGGATGTCAGCTGCATGCTCGAGATTCATCTTGGCCATGAGAGCCAGCATCTTGAGCACCAGCTGGTTGTCGACAGTGCCGCCTACCGCTGCGCGTTTGTCAGCTGGGAGGTATGCCGGCTGCCCAAGTGTTCATGCTAGGTGAAGCGCAAGCAGAAACCTCGCTCTGGCGTTTGCAGCTCCTCGGAGCTCTCCTGGCTCTGCATCGCTACCTGGTTCCGAGTCAGAGTCCTCGACTGAGAGGCTGAGAGGCTGAGAGGCTGAGCGGGAAATCTCCGGGTCGAGCGTGTCGCTTGTGGAAGGATGTCGGTTCGGATCAGCCTCGCTGCGCCCACGCTCGGCTGGTTTTCCTATTGGCGTTGCATGCCGGTGCCCCGTGCTAGGAAACGCTCATGGCGGGCTACCTTCTGGCAGTTTCGCTTGCGCTTGCGAGTCTTGAACATTGTGGAACTCGGGGGGCAGAAAGATGTGCCGTTCTTCATCTGTTCGCAGCTTTTATCCCCGGACTCCGCCATCGCATGCAGTAACCCGACGTGATGGCTTTGCATTGGCCGTAATTAAACGGGACAACTCTGTCAACATGACTTGCGGTTGCGACTAGCGGCTGCTTGATCGTGGGCGCGGCGCTGGTGGGGCCAGCTGGCGGTGCCCGTCCAACAAGCCGTCGCCAGCACAGCCTTGGGTGCTCTCGCTGCGCGACATGCCACAACCGCGCCCGATCTGCCTTCGCCGCCGCGGGCAAGCGATGCGACGTACTCATGGTCCGCAGGGGGCATGCGCAGCCAGGCGCCGATGATCACCGCGGCCAGGCCGTCGATTCCGCTGTGCACCGCAAGCGCCTGCAGACGCATCCCGAGCTCGCGCACGCCAGGCAGTGCCGCTTGGTGGTCGATGTGGTCGTCGGAGTCGGAGTTGGCAGTAAGTTGGCGGCCGCTTTGGAGCCAAAGCTGCTTTGGAGGGCCACTATTAATCTAGTCTTCCTTTCTCCTTTACCTTTAGGAGTTTTAATATACTAGTTTTCCCTGCGGTACAAAGGATTATCAGAAAGCCGCGGTAATAATGTAATCATAAAATACTGTACGTTTAAGGGTCCTGTAAAATATACTAATATGGGCCCTCGAATGACAATAATCTCTTTGCGCTCTCACTTAATTATTCGTTTATGAGCGCAATTATTATTTTCATATAATAACGATGAAGCCCCCAGTATCATTAAGTTAATAATATCTACGGGGCTCTTTAACTCATGTTTATTTACACTTCTAATTACTAAAAGCGCAAACACTAAACGCATGAACAAAGTCATTGCACGAAAGTAAACAGAGACGAGAATACGAGGTGTAAAGATAAAAGAGATAAAAACTGTAAAGAATTTCGCTGCTGGGCACGACAGACCCATTCAACAGTGCCCAACCTGCCGCAAGGCACCGCTGCTGAGCAACTGCCAGATCTTGTCAGCCGGCGGGAGCACGGTGGACAGGGCTTGCACAGCGCATTTGACCACGCCATTCTCCCCCGCGTCACATCAAAGATATCCTATTTCCTATCGGTTTCTCCGGACGTTGGGTGGGGGGGGGAGGGCCAGAAAAAGGAAAGAAATGGTCATCCGCGCCTCCCAAGAAGCATTTGTTTCCTGTTTCCTGTTGCCTTGCTTTCGTGGCGTATCATGCGCGAAGCATGTGACACACCTTAAAACTTAAAGCCAGCAAGAGCGCGAGCCCTTTTTTCAGGAAAGCAAGAGGGGGGGGGGATGTCCGTGAAACATCGCTGGGTTCTGTTTAGAGAGAGGTCTTACATAGGAAGCACAAGGAGGTCCCGACACCTGCTTGCCTTTCTTTGGAAAGAAAGGCTGGAGAGGGGGGGGGGGACTTTGCGCTTTCTGGCAGACTAGCCTAGGTCTGTGAGTTTGGAGGTCTTACATCGGAAGCACAAGGAGGTCCCGACAGGCCTTTTTTTGGAAAGAAAGGCAGGGGGACGTCCATGAAACATCGGTGGGGACGGGGTTTCTCGAACGTACCCTCCCGAAACCCTTCCTAAGCAACAACCCTGTGGGTCCAGTTGCGCAAGCTTGCTTTTCTTGCTTGTTGAATGTGGGGTTGGTCTGAGGGACCCCTCCCCCACGTCCTGCAACACAACGGGTTTTTAAGAAACCGCAAGCTCGGGATATGTTGCCCGCGGCTCGCAGCGCGGCTCCGTCGACTCTGCACGGCTGCGGCCCGGTCCAGCGTCCTCGGCGAGACGAGCGTGGCGTCGCAGCACAACGCGATCCCGGTAGGCGTTAACCCGGAGATGAGCAAGTCCAGGCGGCGGCGGTCTGTCGGCTACATGTTGCGTCCCTTCCGGTCCCACTGCCTTGCCCACCTTGGCTCTGCGGGCGAGGGCCAGCGCGTGGTCACCGAGTTTTTCGACTTGCATTCTGCAGCCGGGTGGAGGGCCACAGCGCCCGGAGGCAATTGGGAGGGGCAGACGCAGTCCGAAGTGCGACTTGCATGGCTTCTAGCGACAGCGTGGTGGCCGCCGTGGCCACTTCTCCCATCTCCTCGATAGCAGCAAGCCAAGAACCTGCATGCGGCCCGGATTGGGCACGAAGCAAGGCCCGGTGATTGGGTGACAAGGCTGGCAAAAGTATGTGGTCACGATTTTTGAGACTGCGAGCGCGCGACGCGTGGAATTGCCAGCCGTGCACGGCCAGTCTCCAAGGCCTGTTTCCGCATTGGGCGTTGCCAAACGGCCGCCGGTGATGTCGTGCCAGCTGGGGCAGTTTCATGCAGTTTCCCCATTTGGTGATCGAAACCGACGGATGAACTGGGCTGCCTCTTCGCTCCGACGCACTCCGAGGTAATCCCGACCACAACGAGCCGGTGCCGTGCGGAACGGAGGAGTTCGGGGTATTGCGCTCTTTGGCCTTGCGAGCCACGCGCAGGGTAGCGCCGGCTGCCTTGCCGAATCCAAGGCAAAAACAAGCGTAGTGTCGACCGTCAACTGGGCGCCGCATGGCGCCGCTCCGAAGGGGCCGTTGGTGATGAACATGCGATGACCTCTATGCGCCCCTCGTCTGCCGCTATCTGCCGCTGGACAACAAGGTTGAGGTCACGCAGCAGCACGTTGGTGGCGGCCCGCCGCGCTTACCACTGACCACATCCTGCGCTCTTCCGCCTGACCTCTCTGCCAGCTATGCGCGAGCGAGGCCACGGCGATGCTGTCTGGCGATGCCTGCTCGCGCTGCTGGGCGAAGAGGTCGATGATGCGGACCCCGGGCTCGCTGCGGTGCGCCGTCTCGCGTTGCTGCCGGCTCGTTTGGGCGGACCCTCTTGCTCTTCGAGCAGCCGGTGCGCCGTCCAGGCATGCACGAAATCCGTGTGGCCTACAGGGGAGCTCAACACAACGATGCCCCGCTCGTGCGAGGGCCGGTCCCCCCTCCACACTTCGGGGCCAGCGTCCCTCCTCGACCGCCATCCGCAGCCCTCCCCTAACTCGAGAGCCTTGGTCACGCTTTTTCCAGCCACGCAAAAGGTCTGGGCCTTTTGCTTTTTGCGGCTGCCTTGCAACCTGTCGCCTCCGAGCTGCAGGCTGACCGCTGGACATGGCTGTGCACTTTCTGGACGATGGCGTTCTGGCGGGAACAGTGCAACATGCCGCTGCGGCCTTGGCTCATGTGTGTAATCCTCGCCGATAACAATGCCAGCAGTGTGCGGCAAAAACGGCCAGGCTCCTCGAGGCCCTGGCGGAACTTGGAGACCCGAGTTTCGTAAAGCTCCGCCAGGGCACATAAGCACGCGCTTGCTTGGCCAAGGGATGCCTACAAGCATGTCTTGTAATGTGTTGCACTCCCGCGCCTTCAGACGCCTGGTTTCGCGAGCTTAGCTGTAGCCTGGGGGTAGCCGGCTCCGGACAAACCAGCATGCAGACGCAAAAGTCGCCAAACAGTGGGCCGAAATTTTCGATCGCGCCGCGCGCGCCTACCAGTTCGCGTTGCAAGCGCGGGCGGGCACTGACGAATTGTCGGCCCACGTCCGGGTTGCTCTGGCCCGGCGTCCCGATGCAGTCCTCGTAGCGTGTATGACTCCATGTCACGCCTGGCCTTCATGTCCAAGCTGCGCGAGGTCGCCACTGGAACTCTTCCCCTTCGTGCGCATGTTCTACGGGCAACCCTCCACCTGCAGCTGGTGGGATGATGCCGGGCGCTGCAGAGAGGTCCGACAAGCCGAGGGTAAATAAATTTTGCACATTGTTGCACACTAATTTAAGTTATACACACATATACATACATATATATATATATATAAATTTATTCCCGAAAGCATCGCGAAGGGTTCTTCCGTGCGGAGCCCTCTGACCCAACAACATAGACTGAAGTGCACACAGGTGAAGTGCATAGAGTGAAGTGCGCAGAGTAAAGAGCACAGAGTGAAGTGCGTAGTGTGAAGTGCGCAGAGTGAAGTGCATAGAGTGAAGTGCATAGAGTGAATGAAGTGCATAGAGTCAAGCGCATGGAGTCAAGCGCATGGAGTCAAGTGCATAGAGACAAGTGCATAGAGTGAATTGCATAGTGTGAAGTGCATAGTGTCAAGTGCATAGTATGAATTGCATAGAGAGAATTGTGCATAGAGTGAGTTGCATAGAGTGAATTGCATAGAGTGAATTGCATAGAGTTTAGGACAAATTGATAGAAATTACGAGATTTACGTAAAATTTAGTAGACCTGCGTACCCAGACCTAGATTTCTTAATTAAAATTACTCTTTCTAAGGCGGCGCTGGGTTGACATCGCCAATCGGGATTGCAACCCTCTGCGGGTTTCGGCGTGGTCGCGGTGCTAAAACCGTTGTTTTTTTTACGTTTCTTTCTGTGCGCGGACAACCCTCCGCGGGTTTGACCGTGGTCGCGGTGCTAAAACCGTCGTTTTTTTTTGCGTTTTTTTCTGTCCGCGGACAACCCTCTGCGGGTGATCGCCGGCTCGCGGCGCTAAAAACCGTCGTTTTTTTACGTTTCTTTCTGTCCGCGGACAGCCCTCTGCGGGTGATCGCCGGGTCGCGGCGCTAAAACCGTCGTGTTTGGTACTTTGTTTTCGCGCGCGCAGACACCCTCTGCGGGTTTCGGCGTTGGCGCGGTGCCAAAACCGTCGTGTTTTTGCGTTTTTTGACATACAAACGTAACCCCTCTGCGGGTTTCGGCGTTGGCGCGGTCCCAGAACCGCCGTGTTTGTGCGTTTCTTGACGTACTCGTACAAACGTAACGCCTCTGCGGGCTTTCGCGTGGTCGCGGTGCCAAAACCGTCGTGTTTTTGCGTTTTTTTTCGACTTTTGAAGTACAGACGTAGTACGCCGGGGACTTCCGTGGTTGTTTTTTTGCGACTTTAGTAGTACAGACGTAGTACGCCGGGGACTGCCGTGGCTGTTTTTTTTTACTCTTGTAGTACAGATGTAGTGCACCGGGGACTGCCGTGGCTGGAAAGTCGACTTTGCTAGTACAAATCTAGTACGCCGGGGACGCCCGGAGCTGGCGTGGCTGGAAAGTTGACTGTTGTAGTACAGACGTAGTACGCCGCGGACACGCGGAGCTTCCGTGGCTGGAAAGTCGATTTTTGTAGTATTTTTGTAGTGCAGACGTAGTACGCTGCGCACACGCGGAGCTTCCGTGGCTGGAAAGCCGACCTTTGTAGTACAGACGTAGTACGCCGCGGACACGCGGAGAATAGCATGGTAACGGACATCTGGGCGCTTGAAAAACACCGCAAATAGCATGGTAACGGACATCTGGGCGCTTGAAAACACCGCAAATAGCATGGTAACGGACTTCCGCGCGCGTGAAGACACGGGGATGTTTTTATCTTTTCTCTCGCAAATATCATGGGACTCGAATTTCGAGCATGCTCCCCACCCGTCCATCCCGGCTGCAGTCCAAAACGACGCTCCCCCGCTTCCAGCCGAGCCCTCTGCCTCTACCACTGCCCCGCCCACTGCGTGAACGTTGTGCCCTGTCTGCCGAAGCAGCGTTTCGAGCAGGGCTTGAAAGTTTGGAGGACGTCGACCTCGAGGCCACCCTGCGCAGGCGCGTCTTGACGCTCCAAAGTGTCCCGAAGCCAAGTCCGCGGCACGCTGCGAGCGGCCTGCCGGGCAGGCTCCAGCGGGCATCAGCGCTCGTTCACTTGGGCGAGCTGTCCGCTGCCTTGTTTCGGAGCCCCTCGCGCCCGGCACCCTCGAGACGCTGCGCGAGCTGCAGGACCCAGACTGCAGACCGCAAGCCCCGTACGCGCCGCTCGGGGAGGACCTGCTTGCGTCCGGCCGGAGCATGCCTGCAACTTGTTGCTGCGTTCCTTCCTCGCGTCTCTCCGCCATGCCCGCCACCAATGAGCACCTGCGCATCCTACTTGACCATGAGGAGGACTGTATGCTCCCGCATCAAGCCGCTGAGAGGCTCGCGCAGGTCCCGGGGCCCATCCTCGCTGCCATCCGGGTCGGGCGTATTGTCGCGCTCCGCAAACCTAACGGTCGCGTGCGCGCGCTCGTCGTTGGGGACGTGCTGCACCGGCTTGTCGGCCGCACGCCGGCGCAGCTGTACTCTTCCCAGCTCCAGGATGCTTGCTTGCCGTTCCAATATGGCTTGAGCACCCGCGCTGGCACTGAGGCCCTTGTCCGGGTGCTGCGCGTTGCCTCTGAAGTCGACGCGCGGGCAACAGTGCTCTCCATCGATGCAATTGGAGCATTTGATGAGCGCCAAGATGAGCGTCGCATCAAGGTCATCGCCAACGGACTCCCGCTCTGGGGGGGTGGTTCAATGGGCTGTTGACACCACCCTTGTCTCTCCACTGACGGCCGCCCCCGTCGCGCGCGGGGCTGCACCACTGGTGCCGCATTGCGCCTGGCTCGCCAGGCCAAGGAGCGGACGTACCCCGAGCTCTGCCGATCGGCCCGCTCCGGCCTGACCGTGCTCGCTCTCGAGGTCGGAGGCCGCTGGCGTGCCGAGGCTGCGGGGTTCGTCCGCCAGCCGCGCCTGCAACCGCCAGGAGCGCAGCCACCTCCGCATACGCGCTCCGGTGGTCTGCCCGCATCTCGTTTGCAGCCACGCGCGCCCTTTGTGCCAGCCTCCTCGCACTCCCTCTTGCGAACACTGGCAATGTCGATGGAAACATCCTACTCCGTAGCGATGTCTTGGAGCCCCTCCTCCCCTTGCCAGCCGCATGCCGTGACAGGGCCACCGCTCGCAGCACCTAGCTCCCTGCCCACCGCCGCCTGGTGTGCTCACTGCACCCTGTGCAACCCGTAATAGGCGATCGACCGCTATGGACTTGGGAAAAAAGTGCGTTGGAAAAATAATACACATTTGATCATGTATCCAAGCAGTCGATGCTTGCCGCCCTTAGGTCCAAAGAAAGCCTCCACTCCCTACTCCCCAACGTGCGCTAATTTTACGGGTCCGATAGCACCTATGTTTGGCCTGATGATGCTGGCGTTTGCCACGATGTGCGGCAATGCGAGGGTGGAGAGCAGGGCGACCCCCTGATCAGCACCCTGCCCTTGCTGCAGTCCACCGGCGCCTGCAGGGCGAGGCCCTTTTCGCCTTCCTCGATGACATCTATGTTGTCGCCGCGCCTGAGCGGATTCGCTTTTTGTTGGATGCCTTCGAGGAAGAGTTGCGGGCCCATGCCGGGAACGAGCTCAACAGGGCAAGACCGCCTTTTGGAACGCCGCAGGCGAAGAACCACCCGGCATCTCCCACTTGCAAGGGGCATCAAGGGGCGGGCGGGGAGCTTGCGTGGGTCGGTGATTGGTCCCTGCCGCGTGACCGCCAATGTCGGCACTCCCCTTGGCACAGATGCATTCGTCCAGCGGGCCCTCGCGGCCCGCAGTGCTGAACACGGGCGATTGCTGCACAGCATCCCCACTGTTCCGGACCTGCAGGCTGCGTGGCTACTCTTGCACTATTCCCCCGTACCGCGGGCGAAATACCTCTTGCGCAATGTGCCCCCTTTTGGCAGACACGGGCAATGGCACGCTCGAGGGGCAGTGTCCGAGATGCAAGGGTTCCGGACGTCGCGCACGCCGCGCGGTGGTCCCTAAGGGCACCCCTTCGGGCGTAGGCCGGACGGTGAGGGCACGGGCAGCATGCGGGCCGGCCTGCGACAGCAGCAGCGCTCTGGATGCGGGAGACCAGGTGGCGAAATGCATCCGGAAGGCGTGCTGATCGCAGGCACGGGCAGCATGACTGGTCGGGGGGTCCATCAAACTCAACTGGGGCGGACCGTGCGACATCCCAGGCTGGCACGTCGCACCCCTGCGCGCGGAGGAAGTCAGCAGCATGCGTTGCCCCGATGACACTAGTGGAGCCAGTAGCGCCAGGATGGCAAGCGCCTGGACAAGGTTGTCGGCTACGAGTGGTGACCTCGCTCGCACCGCTGGCAGGGAATCGACCCAGGATGCCCAGTAGGCGGCATGACGATCGACAACAGCGGAGCGGAGCCCCAGTCACCCATACGGCGCGTGGCTGAGCGTAGCTTGCACTGGGACCGCGCTCCGACAGGTGGAAAAAGTGTGCGAGAAAAAAAAAATTCAAAAGAGAGAGGTAGTAGTGACTGTAGTAGTGACCGTAGGGGGAGCTGCCACCTAGCCCTGCGTGTGCGAAAAATCCCCCCCCTACCGGCCTCAGGGGCCTTGGTAATGGCGCACGTTTGAGCTGCGAGTGGCAGGGCGTAATGGGAGGGGACCCTCTCCCAGCCCACGGCCCCTTTGGGCACGGGAACCGAGCTCAAACGTGCGCCATTTCTTGCGAGCATGGCGATCCCCTCGCCCCCGCGTTGTATGCGCGGCCAGCACGAGGCTCTCGGCTTCCTCATGGCCTTTTTCGTTCCTGGCCGCGCGCGGGAAGCCCTAGCGGAGCGAATCTAGGCAAAACGCGCACGCCGGCAGGCCGCCGCTCGTCACAAGCGGCGCCAAACATACCCCGAGCTCGCGAGCGCGTGACGGGCGAGTCTCGGTCGAGGTTGGCGGGCGCTTCGGCTCCTTCCTCCGTCACCTCGCGTGGCACCGCGCTGCCAGCCTCCCGCCGCCGCTCCGGGCTGCTGGCAGTGCCGGCTGGGTCCAGCGTTGGTCCGGCTTCCTCGCGCTCGCCGCTATGCGCGCCTATGCAGCCTCCCTCCTGGAGCTGCCGCCTGGGGGTGACCTCTGCGATGCGGGAGAGGCGCCTGACCTGCACGAGGTCCTCGCTGAGGTCCGCGGTGGCCCCGCCCTGCTTGCAAACCGCCTCCCGGCGCCTCGAACCGGACCGCGGCTACCGTTCGTAAAAAGGCGTGGGGAAAAAGAAAACACGCATCCTTGCCGCCGATGGCGAGGACGCGTCCCTGCAGGTCCTGGCGGGCCGATGTTCAGGGGCCTGGCCGGGAGCATAGGCGTAGGCACGTGCGGCAGCAAGGTCTCCTGGTGAAACACACGGCAAAACAGCGGCAGGCAGCGCTTCCAGCTTCTGTTCGCCCGCAACCGCTAGGAACTGGAGAAGTCGGAGGCAATGCCTAGCGCATTGCTGAACGCTCCCAAAACAGCGCCACTCCCAAAGCTCCAAGCGCCAGGCCGATGCACAGCCAGCCCCAGCTGTGAGAGCAAGGCCCCCACCTGGGCGCGTCGTGGCGGCCTCGCGGCCTGCGAGTGCGGCGGGCCACCAGATCATGGCGTCGTGAGAGGGAAAACGTCTCTTTAGCTGGCACCAAAAGTGTCTTGAGCACTGGCCTTGAGCCGAAATGGCTATGGGCTCTCCCGCGCACGCCCGAAGCTTGCGCACTGCTGTCCTTCATGCGCATGTGGTATGCTCGTGCCATCTCGTGCCTCCACTTACGTGTGGGCCGCAGGGCCTGACCTCGCTCAGGCCAAGGGTGGCGGGCAGGGGTATCCTTTGATGACTGCCTTATTCTCTGTCGGCATCGCCCCGGCGTTGCGCGTGTTGCAGAGCGAGCTGCGGGAGACCGAGTCTGCTCCAGAGCGCGCCTGTACCAACGCTGGGAGGAGGTGCGCGTGTGCGCGCGCGTGTGCGCACGCGTGCGCGTGCGCGCGCGTGCGTGTGCGCGTGTGTGCGCGCGTGCGCGTGCGCGCGCGTGTGCGCGCGCGTGTGCGGGTGTGCGTGTGCGCGGGTGTGCAGGTGTGCGCGTGTGCGCGTGTGCGGGTGTGCGGGTGTGCGCGTGTGCGGGTGTGCGGGTGTGCGCGTGTGTGGGTGTGCGGGTGTGCGCGTGTGCGGGTGTGCGGGTGTGCGGGTGTGCGAGTGTGGGTGCATGTGTGTGTGTGTGTGTGTGTGTGTGTGTGTGTGTGTGTGTGTGTGTGTGTGTGTTGTGTGTGTGTGTGGTGTGTGTGTGTGTGTGTGTGTGGGTGTGGTGTGTGTTGTGTGTGTGTGTGTGTGTGTGTGTTTGTGTGTGTGTGGTGTGGTGTGTGTGTGTATGTGTGGTGTGTGTGTGTGGTGTGTGTGTTGTTGTGTGTGTGTGGTGGGTGTGTGTGTGTGTGGGGGGTGTGTGTGGTGTGTGTATGTGTGTGGGTGTGGTGTGTGTGTGTGGTGTGTGTGTGGTGTGTGTGTGTGTGTGTGTGTGTGTGTGTGTGTGTGTGTGTGTGTGTGTGTGTGTGTGTGTGTGTGTGTGTTGTGTGTGTGGTGTGTGTGGTGTGTGCGATGTGTGGTGGGTGTGTGTGTCTGTGTGTGTGTGTGTGTGTGTGTGTGTGTGTGTGTGTGTGTGTGTGTGTGTGTGTGTGTGTGTGTGTGTGTGTGTGTGTGTGTGTGTGTGTGCGTGCCCTCAGCAGCAGGTGGCATTTCACTGCGTGTGGGGGCCGTTGATTTCAGAGGCAGCAGTTACGCTGTGGTAAGGCATGGGTTGGAATAATACGAGCGTTTCGGCAAGCCGTCCGTAGCCGGATTGGTGCCTGTCGGCCATGTTCGTGCCCTGTCCGGACCTTAAATTTTGATGTGTGCAGCAGTGGGGGGCTGGCTGTTGTGCTTTCCGATGTCTTGGCAGGATTTCGTGATACGAACCCCATGTCGAATCAGTACGCACAGGGGACACTGATATGGGTTGGGCGCCTCAGATGTGCAGAGACAATTGGGTGTCCATGGCGATGTTGGCTGCTCCATGGGCTGCTGCGAAGCGAAGGTCAAACACGAGGAGGAAGTTTGGATTCAGGCATGGTGTTGGATGTGCGCGTGCTGGGCTTGATTGCTGGGGCTTGGGGTGCAGGCTGAAATCGTCACATCGAACGAGAAGGTTGGCATGGTTGCAGAGTTTCTCACGTATTTTGACATGGCTGGGCTCGTCACGTTGCAGGAAATCATCGTGAAAACAGCCGAAGATCCCAATGGTCGACTAGTGCTGGGACCAAATGAGCCGATTTTCCTGAGGACCTGACCGCACACATCAGAGTTTCAACGCATCACAAGAGGAAATGTCTTTCGAGGACATCTGACGTTTTCACGTCCGAGGGCTTGTCCGTGCTAGATGATTTGACGCAGTTCGTGCCCCAAAAACAATCCATTGTGGGCCTGACTGACGTAGATTCGTGGGTTGGCCTCCAGGTTGACGCACCTGCATGAGCCAGCGGTGCTCAGCTCTCTACAGTCTCGAGCCCGGTGCGTCCGTACCCCTATAGAAAGCCATTCAGTGCGCAGTGTCGAGGAACCGCTTCGACATCGATAAAATCTATACGTTCACTGGACCCATCCTCATCGTTGGTCACTTAAACATGTGGTCTGCTTCGACAAGTTTTCCAGGCTTTATTGTTAAACAAGAATCATCAGGCATTGAACCCTTTCAAGTTCGTCCCGGGCCTTTATGACGAGGAGGCCTTTGTTAGATGACATACGTTTAGAGGCCTCCTCGTCATGTGGACATTTTCCTCATGATCTTGCATGCGCAGATTCTGAAGAGTTTCATCACCACCAAGCCATCGACGAAGTGCTTGGCTGAGTGAACATGTCGACGCAGATTCCTTCTCTGTTGAGAGCGCCGGCATGCTAGTGGATCCACCTGACAGTTTGCAGGCCCCATGTGTTCAACACATCAAACGCTTCATATCGTGGGATTTGTGATCGCCACAAGTCCCAGTGCATCCCTCAGCAAGCGGCAGTTCAAGCCATCAAGCAATGTGGGAAGCGCTTGATGCATAAGTCTCCGCGTGGCAAAGGACGGTGCTCATCAGCGGGGAGTCAGGTGCCGGCAAGACGGAGACCACAAAGCAGCATTCCCGGACAAGCTTCTGCAACGGGTCTTTCGCGCGACGCGTTGAGTCATCAAGTGGTCATTTGCAGAGACTCAGGTTTGTGATGAAGTTTCTAGCTCTTGCGGGATCTGCTGACGGTCAGGTGCCTCCTGTTTTGTGTGTACCAAGGCTTGTTAGCAATTCCCATCATGCACGTTGGAATGATTGGGCTGCAGACGCTGGCAGGTTACCGATGTAGAAAAGCAGGCGGGTGGTGGCGTAGTGGAAGCAGACTGCACCCCTGAGATCCTCCAATCGTACCATAGCTCGTAAAATGTTCATAAATCCTTGGGCTCTGCATGCTCTAGCCGAGTAGGGCAAAGACATGTTCGACAGTATTCCAACAAGGTGTTGGAGTCGAATCCTCTCCTGGAAGCATTTGGGAACGAAGCGTGCTCGGACTACACTACACCAGATTTGCATTGCTATTGCGCGAAATGGATCGACTTTGCTGCTGAGGCCAGAACACTCAGAAATGACAACTCGAGTAGATTCGGGAAGTTCATCGAGCTCCAGCCAGGATCCCGGCCGTTGGTCTTGGTTTCCAAGATGTCACATGTCCTAAGAGCTTCCATCTACGGCTGTGTTTTTTTTTGCTGTGTTCACAGGGCTTCGCATGGTTGGGTTAGTGGGTAACGCGGCACTAGTGGCACCAGCAGCGACAGCAGCTACCAGAAAACACATACAGGCATCGGGACAGTCATACGACCACACAAGTTGGAGGCACCCACCAACTCGCAGCAGTCTCTCCAATGCTTCACGAAGACCCACCTGGGATGATAACCGTCGCGTCCTGCTAGTATGCTGCTCTCGGTGCTCCGGTTTAGTGTTGACTACTCGAGACAAGGTCTGTTGCGGTCACTTTCGCATGAAGAGTTGGTGCGGTTCGAGATGCTCGAGTTCGTGTTGGGTAAGGAAGTTCGGACGCATCCACACATCTTTCGTCGAAGCTTTGCTGATGAGCCCATATTCCACAGATTCAAGCGAACAAACTGTTTAGTTCACGGCTGTCGTTTCCATCCGAGAGTTGTCCAGGCATCTCGCTCTTCAGGGCTTTTGCTCCTATTTGGTTCATGCGGAGGTTCGTGGTTCGCAAGGTTCCGGTTAGTTCACCATTTTCGTAAATATGAACGTGCCCCGTGCCACCTCTACTCCGCTGCATGAAAAGGCCATAGAGGTCTCGCCCCACAAAATCCGCTTTTCAAAGGCGCGCAGACCCAAACACAGCACTCTCGTCGAAGAATGCACGAGCGGAGCGCAATGGCTCAGCGCTGGGTATATAATGGTAAAAATGATAGTGCACAGCACCCCGTGATCATCTCGAGGCCGGGCTCCAAGGCGGTGGCCCACCTGTCCGCACAGGTCACTTAAGGGTGTCGAGGAGGTTCCCTAGTAGTAGTCATCGTCGCCGTGGTCGCCGTAGAAGTCGTACTCAGTCGTGCTCGTCCTCGTCGTAGTCGACGTCGTTGTAGTTGACGTCGTCGTAGTCGTCGTCATAGTTACCGCCACCGTAGTCGTACTAGTAGCAGTAACTGTCGCAGTTGCATTTCAGTTTGCAGTTGAGCGTGGGCAGGGTTGGAGATCAGGTTCCGGCCTTCACAAGACTCTGGTGTGAAGGGCGTGTGGTGCTTACTGACAACGGCTTGACGGCGCGAATTGATCGTCATGCTTGATTAACGCTTCCATACGATTCCATTCACACTGAGGCCGTGCAAGGCATGTCTGGTGAAAGTTTGAGACTCTGCGGTTGGGCGCTCGGCTCTGGTGGCGTTGGGGTTTGCAGTTGTTTGGCAGGGCTATCAACAATGAGGTGCTCGAATCCGGCACTACCTGCTTGAGAAAGTTCGCGTGTGTGAGCAGCAGGTGCGCTCACTTTGCCGTGGTTGCTTTGTGCTTCCCCGGGCCTTGGAAGTCTGCTGAAACCTGAAGGAAGGAGAGCGCAACTACCACATCTTTTATGAAGCTTGTGCTGGACTTGCAAGCGGTCTTTGTGTGTTTGTTCAGCAGTGTGCCTGCAGATTATCAGAGCGTAGCTAGGTGCTGCGGCAGCAAAGCTGGGTGGCGGAAAAGACTGGCTCTTGGAGACTTGCTCACAGATCGAAGGCTGATTTTGATAAACAGTTTTTGACAGGTTTACAGATATCCGCAGATGTTGTCCAAGGAGAAGGCATGGATAGTTACTGGGTGCTTTGAGATGTTGTGGCTGACGTGCAGCCCGAGCTTTTCTATCCCGGCGTCCAGACAAACTCGGCATGTGCAATCTGCGCATTGAGGTGGTAGAGGAGGCGGACATCGATTTAGAAGGCAAGGCTGATCCATGCGACATATCCGAAGGGCTTGAATGGCGTGCCAACATCCTCAGGTTTCTCTGAGCTCTCGAACTTCGCCTTCTTGACACGATCCAGCTGCAAAACTCTGAAGGACCCCAGCCATGTATTTCTCCAGACTCGCACGTTGCATTGTGCTTGGTCCCAGCAGCTCAGCTCGAGTACGAGGATGTTGATGATGTCGAGATGTTCGAGCGTCGCATCCATGCCATGCAGACTATAGGCATCAAGAAGGACGATCTGTCTGAGGTGCCAAGCCTGACCTGGCCATTTGCAAAGCCCAACGCGGGCTGGCGTAGCAAAGCTAGCAAAGTACACTGCTGCAGTTTCCAAGATAGTCCAGCATCTCAGGATGCCAGGGGGGAGTTTGGGATTTCACCATGCCGCATGATGAGCAAATGTTTTTATGCCAGATTCTCCACATGATAGCGGCAGTCTTGAACCTCGGCAACTCCAAGTTTGATGCGTGTGCCTTAGAGTCCAGATATGGTTAGACTGTTGGAGTTCGCTTGTTGAAGCGTGTTGCAACTTGCAACTAGCCGGGGACCTTGTGGAGTTAAATGCACGAGTTTTCGCGATGTTGAGTGCGACAAGGAAGCTTGCACGTGTTGCTTCGACGGATGACTTGCCGGCAGTATTCACACATCTCGGCCTGGGGCATCGCGGCGCGCGGCCGCAATCACGCGTTTCTGTGTTGAAGAGCGTCCAAGATGACGGAGCAGGTGCAAGTTGCTACCCTGAGGCATCTTCGTCTCGAGGGGCTCCCTTAGAACTTCATTGGGGATTTGGATCAGCCCCATTGGGGCATGGGGATACCTCGGTGTGTCTGAGGGTGGTCCTGCTGCCATCCCCCGCCACCCCATTCCATGGTAGGTCAGGCTGAACCCAATTCCCACGTGCAAATCTCAGTTTCGAAACTTGCGTAATCCGAACAAGCTTAATTGCTCGCTGTGCCTGATTTCTTTGCTTGCCGGCCGCATATGCATGGAAGGCCAGGCCTTCGTCAATATGAGGTGTACCACAGCTTGGGTGCGTTTGTTTCGGCATGTTTGAGAGCTTTTTTCCTCCCAGGCGGAGAGTGCAAAAAATGGTCTCCCGTGGCAAGAAAGGGACAGGATGTTCTATGCTGTTGACGCATGTTCCAGAACAGCCAGTGGCTTGGCTAGGTCGCAAGGTACGCTGCGTCGGTTCCTGCTGATGGCGCTTCGGCTTGCCCGGTTCGACTTTGGATTTACTGTACGAAGTGACCACGGTTTAAACAAGTTCGTTTTGTCAGAGGTCCCTTTGCTCTGAGACCCAGCACATGCGCGTCATTGCCCTCCGTGCTAACTTCTGCAGTCAGATGTAGCTGTGCAGCTCATCAGCATGACTAGTCGTGCCAGCAATGTATTGGGTTCCTCCCTCTGAGCCAGCTATCATACATTTTGAAGCATCGCTGCCGCCCCACTCAACAAAGTACGAAGCTGTGACCGGCAGCCCCGATCCGTTGCCAGCAACAATGTGGCACCATCTTCATGCTTAATCCTTGAAACTTCCGGCACGTGACTGTCATGTGTTGCGACTTTCAAATGGACTGCTGAAGCCCTCGACCCAATGCCAAACCCCAAGACGCTGGACGTCTTTGCTCTGAAGGCCCCTCCGAACAACAGTGAGGGGTCCATGATCATGGCGGCAGCCTGCTCAGTCAAGAGGGAGGGAGACCTATGTAGAAAATTAATAGATAGGTAATAATAGGTATGCAAAAAATGAATCAATAGGTTAAAAAGAATGCGCACATATATGGAATATGTATATATATATATATATACATATATATACATATATATATACATATATATACATATATATATACATATGTGTGTGTGTATGTATGTATGTGGCTTTCGAGTGTTTGCAGTGGGGCTCATCCCGGTGTGATGTCTCGGTGAGCTGGTCTTTGCCGGAGCGAGGAATGCGCAAACAACTTGGCCGCTGCTGAGAAATTACTGGGCATCCAAAGTGGGGACTGTCAGGGAACAGGGTCCTTGCTTGGCGTAAAGCATCGGCAACTTGTCTGATCAGCATTGGGAGACATGAGGTCAACAGTGCTGAGCGGTCAAGACGTTCGGGCAGGCTTTAAGAATCGGTAACGGCTTGCTCCTTCACGCTTCGTGCAGGACTTAGAGAAAGCTCTCTGTCACCAGACACGCGTCACGCGGTCAGAGAAGATCCGCAGCCCTGTCAATGTTCGTCAGGCTGGTGAGCTACTTGCTATAGCTATGGCTAATCAGTCACATAGAAACTCCTCGGTGCCTGAACGAGGCGGCGGACAATCGTGATGCTTTGGCAAAGGCTTTGTACGGAATCGTGTTCAACTTCATTGCTCGGTGCTCAGCTCACCCTTGGCCTTCGTCATTGATCCATCAAAGGTTATTTGACTGTTATTTGACTACGGGACGGATTTGTCCGAGGTCCACAGCACCAACCTCTCCATTGGGTACATCAACGATGTTAAGCTCTTTGTAGGAGCGGGCTGCTGCTGTCAAGAACTTGCAAGTGGAGATGCGAGTTGGGCAGGAGTCCTTGACATTTTCGGCTTCGAATGCTTCAAGATGAACTCGTTTGAACAGAATCCGCCTGAGCATTGGGGCAGGATTTGTAAGCTGCGTTTTTGTGCATATGTGCGCATGCTAAGCACTGCCAAGATCTGCCAAGGCTGTGCATCAATTTCACCAACGAAAGGATCGGCTTGTGTTGTTTTCAGAGCTAACCAGTGCGATCAGTGTCTGAGTCGCTCTGAAAGTCTTTTTGAAGGCTCCAGCAGTTCTTTAATTCCTTCGTCTTCAAGCTCGAAGAGCAGCTCTACGAGTTCCAGTCTTACGAGTAGAGTGATGAGAGCGTCCCGCCATAAGTTGAAAGTTGCAACGTGTAAGTGTCTGCTGCATATCTCCCATTTCGTTCAAGCGTTCATGAGCTCTTCATGCTTCGAAGTTGCCTGCTGCTGTGACTTGAAATGTATTCTGGATGAGATCTATTCTGCTTCTTGCCTCCCAGCGCATCTCAGTGATATTTTTTTGCGTGAAGTTGGCATTTCATCCGAGCTTGCGTTGCCTTTTTGGCTTCGTGGGTAACCTTCCCTATGTTCTGTGCCTGCAATTGCAGTTGTGATATCTCTTGTCTTGCCGGCTGCTTTGTGTGACTGCTGTAAGAAAAACGAGTCTTTCCGCAGAGGTCGGGCTACAGAGTGGGTGGGAAGAGAGAGCATGTATATCCCTGGTGTGCGGCATCGGCCTCCAAAGCAACATTACTGAGTTGGACCGTGTTGTTAAGCTTGAAATGTTGGCTTCAATACGTAAAAACCAGAGCATGCTGCTTTGCCTTGCTTTGAAGTGCTGCTTTGCTGGCTGGAGTTTGTGGCGGGGTTTTGCCTGGGTTGGGGGGGGCATGGTCGGGTGCGTTGCGCAATAATCTTCAGATTCCAGGCGGTGCAGGCCGGTCTGAATCTTGAATCGGACCCAGGCGAGAGAACATCCCATGGGATGCATTGGATTTCCCAGACAATCAGGCAGGGAGGTGTTTGGAACTCGCGTTTAAGGCCTAAATCGCAACGACTTGCGCTCTGAGGACTCCGTGGACTTGCTGGCCGGGAAAGGGACTGGTGTTTTTGCCCAGCTCTCTGACGAACAAATTGGGCTTGCCAAGCTGAACGCTGCGTCTTGAGCTAGGCCATGTTGGACGAAGAGTGCCTGGTGCCAAACGGGTCTGATCAAGGCTTGGCTTTGCTCGTCCGGTCTCTGTGAGTGCCAACTGTGAGTGCCATGTATTGCATCATTGTCAGCGGGAATTCAGGTCCTGGGGGTACCGAAGCCACTTGAGGCTCAGGGTGGCAACCGGGGGGCACGTTTCTGTTCACGCCTGCGCTGCCGAGGCGCAGCGGAAGACTCATGTAGACTCATGTAGTAGCGAGAATGTCTCTTGAGCTTTAGCCTTCCTCCTGTCTCCTCACGACACGCACCGACCTTTACCAGTTTGTTTTTCCAGGTTGTTGGCCGACTAACTTTGAGCCGACAGGTTGTAGAGCTTGCCAGGCTTTTTTGGACAAATGCAGTCTGCAAGTTGCGTTTTCATTCCACGCTTTACCTGTTGGCCCAGTTGTGTGCGGGCGACTCTGGATCGACATGGGGTGTACAGCTTGGAATGTACTAGCTGACTGCACCACCCCTACATGCTTTGGTTCCGCATGCTACCCAATCCATCTGTGTTGCACGCTGTGTTCCGAAAATGACAAAAGGCTTTGGTTAAATGGCGAGAGAGATGATCTGGGTTCTCGTGAATCGTCGGGGCTTGACGAAGAGTTTTTGAAACCCGGGATGAATTTGACTAGGAACTCTGGAGTTGAGTGCTGGAAGTCTTGAGGCCGGTTTCCTGATTCTTACAACCTTTTTTGGATGATAAGGCATCCTGTGCAAGACTTGAGGTGACTTTGCCCCGAGATGGGGCGTAAGGGTCGTGACTCTTCCGAAAGCTCGGAGAGCGACCGTCGCGCGAAGGCGGCGCAGCATCTGTGATTGTTGTCGTCGCAGTGGTCGACTTTGCCATTTGCAATTTGCAACTGCTTGGATGTTGGGGAGGAGAAGAAGGCACGAAAGGATGACAAGCGAAAGGAGTCCCCCATGAAGCATGAGCAAGTATAGCCTCAATATGTTGCAAGGTATCTGAAGGTACAAGTAGCTTGTGAGGACATCGCCGGCATTTTATATAGCCTCTGTTTGTTGAGACCAGGAGCGTGGTCGCAGTCGTGGCCGCAGTAAGGAACGACGCAAGGAACGTTCAGCCGAGCGGAAGCCACCACCCAAGCGCGGCCGCGACTGGGATCGCAGCATGTTTATGATAATAATGTGCGACATTGTGCAACATTGTGCGCGCAAGCAGGCGGTACGTGTAAAAATCGCTTCAGCAGCCTCAGACATGCTGCATGGCACTGATTCGCACTGCAGGCTCCGAGTCCGAGGATTCGGAGTCCAAGTCGTCGGATGACGAGGAGGACAGGGCCAGTATGTGCAGTATGTGAGCGGCATGCTGAGGTGCGAGGCTGCGAGACTTGAATTCAAGACAGCGTGATAGTGTGTGCCACCAGATGTGCTGCTTTTTGCAGGAGATGAAGGAATTCTTGCTCAGCACAGACATGCCCGAGGAAGCGGTGTGTATTGCACAGATTTGGCAAGAACAGTTTCTCTGGTAGAACAGTACCTCTGCAGCTACTCATGCTTCTCCTGTTAAGATTCGCACGTTGAGCCGTGTGCCTATCACTTGTGATTTGCAGGATCAGATGTTGTCAAAGATGATGGGCTTCAGTGCTTTTGACAGCTCGAAAGGCCGAGATCACAGCCAGGGACCCGGCTTCCAGCGACCGGAGGTTTGAAACGTGGGGACTGTGTGGGGGCCTCTATCCTTGTGTACATTGCAAGGCACCAGTGACCTCAGTGATGTGAAGCGTGCCACAAAACGTGCCTTGACTTGACAGAGCATCCGCTGTTCCTGCAACTGGCTCGGGGTTGCCGCTGGCTTTGTCGCGAATTAAACTGCATGGAAACGTCCTGCAAGTGTCCTGGTTCAAGGCCAGTATCGTCAGTACATGAACCGGCGCGGTGGTTTCAACCGGCCACTGGATGCGGCATTCTGATGGCCTGAAAGTTTTGGATGGCACTTGCTTTCACTGGTGGTCACGGCAGCCAAGTTGGCAAGAAAGTTGGCAGCTCCTCTGTGTAGTCCGGTCTGCTGTAGGAAGAAGCACTACTCACCATTGGAGGCCCTCCATTGTATTGTATAATGGCTTGATGGTCCTTTTTCCTTTTTTGGAGTAGCAATCACAGCAAAATGCACCTTCGGAAGAAATGAAGCAGGAGGACCCAGAGTTAGAACAAGCTTGTGGACAACTTGTTCTGCGAGCTACTGGACTCGACGGATTTTGCGCGTGTGTCTTCTTAGAGCATGCAGAGGTCCACACCCAAACCTGCGAGCCCTCCAGCGAAACCGTCAAGTCTTGTAATGCGGTGTGACATGAACGCGGCGTGAGATAAGAAAAGAGCGTCGGCAGTTGAAGGAGACTTGTTCTCGGATCAGACGCAACAAAAAGCACCGCCTCTCTCAGAGAGAGCACATTCCTTCCTCTGTTATTGTTTGCTTTTTTCAAGAAAAGAAAGAGAGTGTCTGTGAGAGACTCTCTGAGTCCCAGAGGCTACTGCAACAAGCTGATCAAGCAGCACAAAGGTGCGCTCCCGGACTCCTCTCTCTCTGTTCTCTCTGCTTTCTCTCTAGCTCTCTCTCCTCTCTCTTTCCTCTCTCTCTCCCTCTCTTTTTCCTCTCTATTCTCGCTCTCCTCTCCCCAGACAGAGTCGTCTCACCACAGAGATCAAGGCCATCGCAGGTTTGACGAGATCAAGACGAAGCCAACGTGGTGCCTAGGATCAACACAGAGATTGGCTGTGGCGCTTGCTTTTTCTTTGCTATACCCCGATGGTAGGGCAACCAGCCTAGGTCAGCCCATGTACATTTAGGGTTGGCAGTCTATTCCCAGAGCGCACCTGAATTGTGTGTCAAGGTTTGTCATCAAGCACTTCGTCAAACTGCCATGTTTGGCGAAGATTGTTTTGTTTTAGTGCATCACTAGTGCATCTGTTTCCTGTCCAAGAGGGCAAGCACATAGCTCAAGCGTTACCAGGGCATGTTCAAAGCATTTACGCCGTGGCAGGCTGGACCTGTCAGCTACTGCACCGACTCATTTTTGGACAAGAATCGAGACCAGCTCAGCAATGTGCAGCTGGCAGGTTGAACGGCGTTGTAGATGTGCAAATGGCACAAGGTCTCGCACCTCACAAGCATGCGTAGGCTCTTGTGGTTTGAGTGAGGGTAAGCGCGCAGCTCCGATGGCTCAAAGCTTCGCACGACGCAGCATAAGGGCAAGGACAGACAAGTGGCTCGTCAAGACTCTGTCTACACAAGTTACAGGCTACCGATGAAGACAGGCCTACAGAGACTTGCCAAACGGACCCGAGGTTCAAAGAAAAAGCTGTGGTTCAGGTTGTTCACAGCTGTACGAGTACAACCCAGCCACACACCAGATCGAGCTTTCATTTTGGGGGCTGTCGCCCCTAGCTGGAAACAGTTTGGCTTTCGCCTTTGCCTTTCATGGCCAAGCGGAATCGCCACAAGCGTCGGAAAAGTAATGCCAGCGAGGGCCCGCCCAATGTGGAGGCAAGCAAGGCCGGCCAGAGGGTTGTCATCGTGCCAAAGCATGAGAGGAGCCAAGACATGAAAAAGCATGCCATGGCAGGACCGCGCTTCTTCGCAGGGTCGTCCGAAACAGGACCGTCTTGCAGACCGTGCAATGTGTTGCATTGCAGATGGTAACAGAATTTTGAGGCGGTGCCAAGATGTACCAAACTGCCAAGCCTTCTTTTTCCTTCACTGCGCCTGATTCAGGAGGGTCCTAGAGGTGGCGCTAGACAAGGTCAGAAGCGACGACCGAAGAAGGACAAAGCAAAAGAGATTGAGAAGGATGTATGCAGCCCGTAACTCAGGGGTCCTGGCTGCATGTCGCTTGTTCTGCCTTCAGTGCAGTGAATACTGGATGCTGGCGGCAAGGCAAAGAGGACGATAAAGATGCATTCTCGCTTGAGAAGGTGAGGAAACAACTGGAATCTTGGCGTCTGTTGCGGGCAGATGGGCGACATTAATCACGATGCAGCATTTGCAGCCTTTGCACATGAGAGAGCAGCGAACCAGCAAGGATTTTTATTTCAGCGATTCGAACCTGCGCCGGGACCGTTTCATGAAGCAGACACTTGATAATGATGGTGGGTATCTGGACCTGAATCTGGTGTTGACATTCAACCGCATCAAGGCCGGTCTTGTTGAGCCATGCGAAAGAGCCGCAGATTTGACTCCAAATGCTTTTCAACTACCCTGGTACATGTGATATACATCTGCGGAAGTTCGCTGGAGGCTTTGGGCGTCAGTGGTGTTGCTCAGCTTGTTGATGCGGCTCGTTCGTCTCAGCTGTTGGAGCTCAATGCCGAGGGCACAAAAATTAGGCTCGCATCCGCAACAACAAGCTATAATAAACTTTCTTGTGCAGGCGTGTGCTCGGAGGCCTCAGTTTTCGGATGTTAGCCCATCTACTGTTTCGTCTTGCGTTGAAGCAGGCGCGATTACGCCAAGTTCCCACCGAACACGCACGATCCAGTGTGCAGGACGCTCTATGTGGAAGGCGTGTTGATGTGATTTGGGTTAGTGACGTGTATGCTTGATTGTCGTTCTTTGGAGTACATGAGCCAGCTTGTATTGGTCTTGGCTTTGGTTGTCATGCCATGTCATGCCGACATGTTCCACACTTCGATGCCCTGCGTCATAGGTGCGATGCGCCTTCTGCCAACACCACTGCTGTATGTAGTCCGTAAGTCCGTAAGCAAGAGTAGGTCCAGATCCGCCTGCAGGTTTGCCAATAACCTTTGGCATCCCCGACATTCAAAAGTTCTTTTCGCGACATGGGGAGGCACGCGCACCCAGCAGCACGCTGCTACGTTACTCTGATTGCTTTTGATTGCTTTTGATTGCTTTTGATTGCTTTTGATTGCTTTTGATTGCTTTTGATTGCTTTTGATTGCTTTTGATTGCTTTTGATTGCTTTTGATGGGCGCTCCTTTGGCTGTGCGCCTGGGGAGCCTGGGAGGTGAAGTTCATACAGATACCGCACCACCGCGAAACTGGGGAGCCTCGCGGTTTCTGCCTGGTGGAGTTTGCATCTGTGCAGGAGCCTGGGGTTGTTTCGGGGTAGGCGGGGCTATACAACGGCTGACGTCCCTTCTGCTTCACACGTCAGGTTGACTTCTTGCCATACTTTCGATTCAGGTTCTGGGAACTTGGCATGTAGTTATGGGTCAAAGATTGTGCCCGCGCTGATTTTCTGAGACTGTTTGGGTGTTTGGGAGACTCTTGCAGCCGCCACCTTGCTGAAGTGGAAATTGTAAGTGAAACCCCTTTTTCCGCGGGTTGGGACACAGTCACTTCGTGGAGAGCGTAAATTTTTCAGATGATGTAGGCGGTTTAGGCGGCGTGCAAACTGGGCAAAAATTGGGCAAACGCCGAAGTTCGTGGCGGTGCTCAGGCCAGGTTCGGCTCGAGCAGCGCCAGACCGGTGCTGCGTGGAGCTTCGACGCCTCAAGCTCACAGGTTAGAAAGGAGAGCCCTACAAAACAAATAAACAAGGGATCATTTACCCCGCTTGCCCGATTGATTTTTTCATTGTGCTCGCAAAGTCGGTTTTCAAACTGAGCTGCAGCCAATCAGCCAATCGATCGGCTGATCGGGTGAATCACCCGATCACCCGATCAGCCGATCAGCTGGCTGATCGGCTGATCGGCTGATTGGCTGATTGGCTGCCGCACAGTTTGCGGCCGAAAAGCCACGCACACTGGATTTTTGCCTCCATAGTTTATTTGACGGATGAAGGCGGGGGTCTGGCCGCAGAGGCCCCTTGTTTCGCGTTAAGCGCTCACGGCAGCAGCCGGAGTGCGAAGCATACCTTTCGGGCACCATTCAAAATGCTCCCGAAACTGCCCAGAGGTAGCATGCTGGATGCGGGTCTTTTTGGCGAGACGGACTCTGGGGCTGGGCCGGCGAGGCTGAACCCAAGACCCCCTACCCTTGAAATCTCGATCGCTGGCAGGATGCTGAAGCGGCGCGAGCTGCCTGTACTGGCGTATGGCCCTCCACGTGGCCGCAGCGCCACGATGGTAGGACGTTGCAGTTGATGTACAAAGCAGACTGGCTTCGTGAGCGCCGATGCCTGGCGGCAAGATGCGGCTATACATGTGTATGTATGCATATATATATATATACATATATATATATATACATTTGTGAAGGCGGACCTGGGGACCTGCCAAGCCCTGTCCTCTTGAAGAGTGAGAATGTTTTCTGCCTTTCCTGCCCAGGCGAGTACAATCTGCTCTACCAAGCAGTCAAAGGCCCATCGTTTCAGACAACGTTTACCAGGCGAGGAGCGGCACGAGAGGATGTGCCTGAGGGTTCTGCGGATTCTGCGGATGCTGAGCCGTCGCAATCTGCAGATGCAAGCGAATCCCAACCGACAAAGGGTGCTCGCAGGCCTCGTGGGTCTGAGGTACCTGGATGCCTTGTAAGGTTAACTGGGTTCTCAGATGCTGAGAACGTGGTTTGCATTCGTCAGTATGTTGAGCATGCTGTGACTGTTGTACACTGTGACTTCATCCCGAACACTACAGTCGCCCATGTTAGGCTTCCGTCTCCAGGCGATTGTGTCAAGTTGTTGGAAGACATGAAGCTTACTGGTCGCTTGCTCGGCTGCCATAGGCCAACTGCAGAAGTCCTCAGTCCCGAAGAGGAGGAGAAATACTGGCAAGATGCCTTGGCGCGAGACGACGAGCCGAAAATCAAGAAACGAGGCTTGGCACCGCAGGCATTTGTCAGGCGGGATCTCGACCGCAAAGTCTCGAGAATCAGACGATGGCGTCCAAAGGCCGCTTCTGCCTCGCACAAGTTCAGAGCTGGCTTTACAGACACTGCGGGAAGCAATGCAGACTTTGTCCCTGCTGGGTTTGGCAAGTCGCGGCGAACTGAGAAGCCTCCAAAAGTTGTCCCACCAAGAGAATCAGGTGAACCTCCTTTGAAGGTTCGACGACAGGGGTCTCCTCGCAGGCCTCTTGTACCGCCTCCAAGCCCTTTCCAACTACCAGGCACTACTCGAACAAGGCCCCGACCCGCAAGGAGATCAGGATCCGTGCCCCCACCAAGTCCATGTATCCAGGAATTCCAGGACTCCCCAGAGTCTGATTCCCGCCCTGTGTCGCCAAGTTCTTCAAGACAAGTGACATCTCCACGATCAGAGCCTGGGAAAGCTGAGGGCGCCGTCAGTCCTGTTGCACAAATGCAGGAACCTCCGCAGGCCGATGACGTGGGTGACGTGTCGCACCCTGATGCAGACGCCATCCTAGATCTTCTTGATGAGCTTGAAGGAGACTTGTAAGCTGCATCATCTGCACACCTCCAGGTATGCGAGACGTTCGTGGTTCGTGGCCTGAGCTACTCTCGAACACAGCTGAACTCACTTAGCAATTCCCCCCTTCTCAAAGAATCTCAAACGTGCAGAGGGACACGTGAAGTCCAATGTCTCACACGGCTTGGGAGCAGATGGGACGCGATGCGGGCAAAACATGCGATACGCAGGGACAGGTGAGCAATGCTTTGAGGCTTTGAGGCCGCATGTCAATTCATTACCTCCTTGTGTGGTCACAGTGGTGCCGTTCTTGAAGTTCTGAGCTGGCCTCGTCCTGGCCAGGATCTGATCGAGTGCGTCGGAAACAGTTCCAATCAGTTCCGCACTTGATCGCGCGCTTGGGTCAGTCCTTGCAGCTTGTGGTGTCGGGATGTGTCGGGTGATGGGTGATCCAACGCAAACCAATCTGTTTAGGGCGGGGTTTCAGGTGTCATGATCGGATCTCCTACGAGCTACGAAAGTTCGGACTTGTTGGAACACAGTACTGTATCCGCGCAGACATGCCTGGTCTTCATGGATGGTCAGATTGGTCTACGTATGCAAGACACATGGGTCCGATACATGAGTAACTTGGGAAGAATTCTTGCACCGCAAAAAGGTCGGTGAAAGTGGTACTTTACGGGCAGTATCGGGCAGTCCGTTTTCAGTATTCTGGATGAGGAGTCAGAGGAGTCTGAACAGAGTTTGTTTTTTCTAAATGATGTGCTAAGTAGGTGCTCGACCGAGGTTTGTTGCGAACCTGTTCCGCAAGGACCCTAAATTTGCGGAAGCATTTTCCAAGGAGGAGGACATCCACTGCAAGAGGGTTGATGAGCCTTTGTGCAAGTTGAGCCTTTTTTCCAGTACCAACGGCTTGAACGAATGGTTGCGCGGATATTTCTCGTTTCTACAAGATAACGTTCAGCAATGTCGTCCAGTTTGAAGTTCGACCTGCTGTGCGGGCGAGGCTTGAACGCTCCTCGAAGAAGATCTAAGAAGTTCATTGAGTTGCTATCATGTTCCAAGCCTGCTATCATGAGCCAAGACCTGCCCAGAACTGGGATAGCCCGAACTCGCCGTACAAGAACTGCCTTGTCATGCATCAAAGATACTTGGTCGTGCCGTGGCTTCGTGGCTCAGGTAGGCCCAGCTAGGCCCAGGTAGGCGTAGGTACGATATTCGCTCGGTTCCCACTAGGAGCAGGAGGAGCCTCCGACTGCGGCATGAACCGCATAGCGAACAAGATCACCAAGTCCTATTTGATGGATCCGTACTCCATGCTGATGCACTACAAGCGGGCTTTCAAACTTATGCGTCAGCTGAAAGCAAACAATGCCAAAGTGTTGATCCTCGGCAATAAGAACCAATTCGGTATCGACTGGAAAGGCCGCTTCGAAGGCATGGACTTTGACACTGGAGTTGTGGACGAGAAGGTCATCTCAGGTGCCCCGAAATATTATGATATGATCCTGTGTTGTGACCCTGTGCTTTACTGCAGATCGTTGCATCGGATCAATGTGCCAGTAATGATGTGTGCGACACCTCGGGAGATTGCAGAGCACCCAGAGATCTTAAATGTAACAGACTATTTGCTTCCATCGCCAACAAGACGGCACGATGCGGCGCTGCGTGAGATGATCGCTGGAGAGGAAATCGGTGAAAGCACCGGACGAAACATGCCTGAGTGATGAGTCGCACGGCAGACAGCAGAAATCGGAAGCACACGCCTCATAGTTTCACCTCCACCAGCAGCCGTGGCAAGAAAACCAGGTTGCAAGAGCAAAAAGATTTGGAGTAGGACTTAATGCGGGGGGGTGCCACCTAGAAGGACTTGTGTCCGGGCAGGACCAGCCAAAAGGTGGCAAGAAGAAGAAGTACACCGCTGCGCGCTCGGCCGACTCAGCCAAGGCTTTTGAGCAGCGACTCTTGTAGGCATCTGCGGGGGTGCTCAGTATGGAAGAGACGAGAAGTTGCGTTGTCACCCGCCAGTGTTGAAGGCAGCGCGCTTCGAAGCAAGATTGGCGCACAAGGAACCCTTCGCACGTCGAAGCAAAGCAAAACTGCAGAACATTGCAGAACCCACAAACTGCATGCGGAACTTTCCACTTGAAAAACTCCGCACTGCCACCAGGGAAGGTCATGCTGTTGCTGCTCACTGTTGACCCCCCTTCCCGCACTAGAGGCCTTTTGCGTCATGTGCTAGCGTCAGACTCCTCAGGTTTCGTCCGAATTCAAGGAGCAGCTCTCGAGTCTGATGGTGCTTGCCTCAAAATGCGGGCAAAGGCCGAAGTATCTTGCGGCTGTGGTCACTTTAGGATGTGGTGGATCTGACGGAGCCCCACTTCATCCGATGCTCTTTGGCCTTTCCACAGCCCAAGATGTCATGGAAGATAAAGACAGGTAAAGAAAGGCTGGGCTCCTTGAGGGACGCATTTTTGCTGCTCAGCGAGGCATCAAGCCCAACCCGCAGAACTTGCCAGACCTCTTTGACAGAAAGGCTATGCGGCCATTCGGAGTGATGGTTTTTCATGAACCCTGAATTCCATTGCGTCATGCAGATGGCTGTCAGGGTGTCACGGAGCAGCTGCGGTATGGCGGGGTGTTGCAAGTGGTCCAAGTCAGCTGGTAGCTCAACGATGGGAACATGCTTGCGGTCAGATTCTGTGATGCAAGGTAGGGAGGCAACACTATGCAATACCTCGACATGAGCACTCCAGAACTCTCCAAAGACAGAGAAGAGGGGACTGAGAGGGGACCCCCGGTCTTCGAAGCTCCACGCGACAAAGTGGTATTGTAGGCCAAAGCTTTAGGCCCTACAAAGCCTTTAGGCGTACGACGGTTAGAGCGATGAACCCCAAGCCTCAGCTATAGTTGCAAAATGAAGAGTATGAATTGCGGAGCTTGGCCTGCAGTCCAGCGTGAAGCGTCATTAGGACGAACAGAACGAACTTTGCTGTAGAAGCAGTGCGCTTGTCCGCGCTTCATCTCGACTGGCGGTTCGTAGCATTTTATGAAAGCGGATCTTAACAACTTGTCAACAGGACATCTCCGTTGGATGGAGCAACCTGTGCGCCCAAGCCATTCTGTCAGGATTGCTTGGATCTTCTGGGTGGACAGGGTGGGCGGGAAGTGACGACCAACACAAACCTGAGTGTGCACTACACCTGTGTCTAATCCAAGCAGTTGCTTGCAAAGATTATCAAACTTGATCGAGGCCGAGCAGGGTATCCTGTCCGAATCAACCACCAGGACTTGGAAAGGTCAAGGGGAGAGACAGAAGAGAAACGGACCTTGTGAGAACTAGGCAAATGATTCATGTTGTGTGCAGGAATGCTGGGATGACTACAAGGTCGTTGGCTCGCCAAAGGTTGTGTCGGAGCTTCGCCACTTGCAGGACATGTGAGGAAGTATCTGGAAGCAGCTGCAGTTCTGAATGCATGTAGACCCCACTTACCTGCAGACACTAGTTGCGACAAACAAACACTAAGCTTTGCATTTGCAGCATGTGAGTATTGCTGAGCTGGTGATCTCCCTGTGCAGGACCCCAAGATTCGAGCTGGGAGCTGAGCCCGACGCTAGTTCTGTTCTCTGGAGTTCCGCTGGAACTGGAGTTCCACTGCAGTTCCACTGGATGCAGAGGCCCAAAAGTTGTTGGAGCACCTTGATGCGGAGCTGAACATACCAAAGCCCAAGCTTGGCACTCAGAGCAGGGTGTTGAATAAAACTGGGTTCCTGCATTGTACTTTTCGAGGCATGGCCTGTCGTGGGCAGTGGGAAAGACACTCGTGTTCTTCAAGCTTCCAGCTTATGTGCCTTGATTGCATCTGGCCACTCGAACTGTCAAGCCCGATGCGACTTCTGACGAGACAGTTTGGATGGCAAATGTGAGACAAGGAGCGGGTGAAATTTGCTCGCCTGAACCTCAGACTTTTAAGTGGCACCAGTCTTCGGCAGCTTGCTCTGAATGTCCGCAGCCACAGCATACTCAGCGAAGACTTCGACACGGTCACAGAGTCACATTTCCAGAAAGCTGCATAGTAATGGCATAGCGTCTCGGGTTGGGGGTATCAAGATGTGCACGGCTGCTGGGTCTCATGCTCTAATGCAGAAGCTGCCGTTAGATGCTGTCTTCACAGGCAGTTCACATATTTCGATGGCTGGAGACGAAGGACTTGAGTCTTCGCATCCCTTGTTGCAAGCGGCGCAGGAATTTCACGCCTTTTGGTTTCCTGATGAGCTGCAGCCAAACTCTGTGCAAAGTTTCTGGTTTGGGGCAAAGCGTCCTCGTGATCGCAAGCTATTTAAGCAGTTGTGCCAGAAGTTTTGTGAACCATTGCGCACTGCAGAGCAGCTCCATGAAATAGACCCTAGTTGGTTTCAACGGCTGGGCCCCGCTTCACAGCTACGCTTGGCCATTTTCCTTGACCAGCAATCGCGAAATCAACGTGCCACACTGGACAGAAACCAGGGCCAGCAAAGTGAAGAAGCAAGCAATGTTGAGAATCAGATAGTGCGCTGCTCGCGAATTGCACGCGAACTTGCGGATAGGCTCTTGCAAACAAGGATTTCTTGTGCAGATATAATGGGCGCGACTGGTGCGTCAAACGCGCAAATCTGCTTCCTGACGCTGGTCTTGAGGCATACACAAGAACTGGGTGCCGTGCGAGCTGCACAGCGCCTGCTTGACGAAATGCAAGAATCGGTTCCCGTCGTGGCTGCTTTTCGGCAGCGGAATTCGGAGATTCTTCTGAAAATGGAGTCTGAAGCCTACGTTCGCGAGGCTTTAGAGAGGCATACTCCTCGGAAAGCATCATATGATGGTTCGGGACACAGTCCATTGCCTACAATTTGCTTGGACAGCGCATGTGTGAACTCCAGTGGTGCTCTATCTCCGAATTGCCTTTCATGGGCTAGCCACTCCGAGCGTTGGGATCAGCTGGCTTCGCATCCGCTGAGCCAAGAAATGTTGAGGGAATTAAGGAAGCGCTCGTTGATGACACCTGAGGCACATGTGCTGCTTTCGTACTCTGGCGGCGTGGACAGCACTGCCCACCTTTTGTTATTGCTCGCCCTGAGGCGGCGCTTTAAAATGCCTGGCTTATCGTGCCTGATGCTGTCGTACCCGAACCGACAGCCAGAGGAAGTAGAAGCGGAGCAGCTGTGGGCCACGTGGGTGTGCCATCAGCTTCAGGTTGATCTTTACATTTATGACGTGAATCTGGCGCGTCCTCATGCGGATGTCGCAAGCACGGCATGCGGCCTCTCTCGAGAGGATTATGAGCGATGGACAAAGGAAATTCGCTACAAAATGTACCGCTCCCTGCTCCCGACCACGGAAGGCTCAGCTGTAGTGCTGGGTCACCACCAAGATGATGTGGACGAGAACCGCCTAGATCATCTCATGAAGGGGCATGTGCTTGGAGATGTCGAAGGAATGTGGGCATGGCGTCGGATCCATGACGTGCAGCTGTGCAGACCACTTCTTCACAAGCGAAAGGCTGACTTCCTCAGCTTGCTGCAAGAGTTCCCCACTCCTTTCTTCAGGGACTCAACTCCTCCATGGTCGGTACGAGGGGCTACACGTTCAGCTCTGGACTCCCTGCAGCCTGACGTACGCGAAATCCTGGTATCGAGGCTGCAGAGCTTTGGTGAACTCAGCCTCGAAGTGGGGAGCATGTTAGACCGGGCTGTGGACTCCTGGACACAAGACCATGTCTGCGTCCTGAGTTTGCCCCGTGGTGCGCGGGGAATTGCGCTGAACCTGGATGCTCTATTTAGTTTGGAAGTGGGTCACGGCCTGGCAGAAGTAGAGTCGCTCATCTCGGAGATCAGGCAGCTTTGGAACCCGTTGCTTTCGTTGGGCGCTGAAAAGGAGACTGAGGTTTCGAAACAGACGCCGCTGTCGGCCATACCAGAGCACTCTTTCGATGTTCCGGCGCTTCTCTTTGAGCGAGGGTTCCTGGCCGCAGCTCAGGGTCAAGGCGACTTGGTGTCAAGGCGGCTTGGCCACTACCATTCTTCTGAGAGTATATCTGTCAACCGCAAAGCTGTTCACCACCTCTTTGCCAATATTCGCAACTGCATGAAGCCACACTTCAGTGGGGGGCTTTCACAAGAGTTCCTCGCCTGCAAGGACCTTACATCGAGCTGGTTCGTGTTGAGCAATTTTAGGGGGTTGAGGAACGTCATGCTCCTGCCGGTGCTGCTGCCTCTGCCGGCTGCTCTGCTGCCACCACTGCCGCTTGTGTGTAAAGTGTAAATGCACTCAGAACATGACGGCTCCATGATTGCCAGATGGGATTCGATGGGATTCGGGGCATCACTTCCATGCCCTTGTATTGTAGTGTGAATCGGCAAGGCAAGAAATGTAGCCCCTGCAAGGTGCGGCAGGGAAGAGAACACAGCGGGGCTAAGAGCGTTGCCTTAAGAAGCTGTAGGCAACGTGCAGGCCCTACCAAAGCGAAACCAACACAGCTCTGTGAAGCAGGTTGGGCTACTTGCATGTCTCTGGTCCGCCGCAAGTACTCGTCTTGTACGACGTCACAGCGCACCCTGAAGTGGATTTCAAGACCCTGCGACCAAACATGGTTCGAAGTGCGTCGACGGCATTCGGTGGCTTTGAAAAGGCTTCAGACACGCGACATGTCTGTGGAAATCAAGCAAGCAATATTTGCTTGATCATTACTTGGTTGCAAGATAAACAAGGTCTAGAGCTTCTGATCAAGAGCACGACTCTGATTCAGGTGCTTGGCTTTTCTTGCCTGGCAAAGAGTGTTCTTCCGATGCAGCTCTGTGTCATGGGCAGGCTTCTTGGCGTGGCAAAGTTCGGAGGCGCATGTGGGTCTCTCAGACCAAAAACAGCTTCCCGAGGAGGTCTTGCTGCTTTATTGTAGTAGTGCGGCGCGATGCGATCTCGGTGCACTTGGTGCACTTGGTGAATCATCTTTCAGCTGAATCTCCTTCAGGTTTGTCGCCATTCGTCTGTTCACTCGTCATGCCTCGTCCTCAGAGCTAGGAAGCTGGATTCCCACGATTGCAGAGAAGCGGTGTCGTGGTCGGGGATGGTCGGGGTCAAGTTGGGCACAGGTGCAAGCCCTGCTGCGGTCCAAGCAGGCGCCCTTCTTCAGTGAGTCGGGCCCTGCAGCATTCTATTGTAACCCCGTTCTTTCGAAAGGCTCGTGCTGACCTTCAGAGAAGGAGGTGCCCTGGCCACCCACGGGTCGGGCAAAGCTGCGGGCAACAATGGGCCACAGCAACCTCCTCAGTCATGTCCGGTCATTTTGGCATATCCTGGCACAGGTCCGAGGACTGCGCTACAAAGCTGCAGGCCCATGCCAGAGCGAAACTGGCAGGGAGCCCAACCTCGGATGATTGCATCCACAGGTGCTATGTAAGAACGTGCCTCTGCTTCGGGGCTTAGAATTGTGGGTCTGTGGGTGGCTCTGTTGAAGAGAGTCTCGATGAGTCATGGGATTCCTCAGTCTCGGAAGCCTGTCACGGCCTCCTGCCCAGGCTCGGACCCGATACCAAAATATCATGCGCAAGGCTGTGGACAAAGTGACCTAGGCCATGCGCTGAGATTTGCTCGTCCTGATCAGGTGATCAAGATTCAGGCTGTCCGACGAGGGGTGATTGGGCGTCGATATGCTAAAGAGCACAAGCGCCACGTCAGCGCGGCCAGGTGGGCGTTCATCCGCTTGCGACATCAGTTGATTCGTTCCGGCACTCTACGAAAGTGTCGTGAAAGATGGAGCCTTGACAGGCTGCAAAGCTTGGTTCGCACACGGAAGGAACAGAGAATCTACGATGCCCTGAGGCCATTTCTTGAGAACATGCTTCGGGCATGTGAGCTGTGAGCTGTGTGAGAGGCAGTCAGTTGTGTTCGCTCAGCAGCTCCGCCCCAAGAGCTTTCTCCAGATACCGGTGACAGATGGGCAGTTCAGATATTGCAAGTGCGCGAAAGTTACGAGAGTAAGTCTCCCGCCACGTTCGGGTCCGTTGGGCTTCGGGATGCTGTGAGGCGCCTGCGCATGCGCAATGCGAAAGGGCAACTCAAGAAGTTGAAGCAAGAAGCGAAGGAGGCACACAGCCGGCTTCTGAGTTGAGCTTGTTCAGAGGGTTCATACGCCACGCCGAGGTCGGTGCCATGATGGCCAAGGCACAGAAGGCTCAAGAGCAGGCGGCATTGTGTGACTGCAGGAAGGCAAAAGTGGCCAGAGAAACGGATTGTTGAACTGCCTCGCGGCAGGCTTCTGAATTGCGGAAGCACAACGAGGAGATGGAGGCCAGGCGATTGTGTAAACAAAGTTTGTGTGGAAGGGTTCGCATGTGGTGAGCAGGCACATCAGCTTCAGCTGCAGTCCGAGAACAAGACTCTCTCGAACAAAGTCAAGCACCTGGAGGACGCACATGGACACACCTGGGTTTGGTACTGGGTAATCTTTTGGTTTTCTCCAAAAACTCAAATGGATGAAAAGAGGCTGCATGCCTCAACATTGGGTGTTGCAGGAGATGCTGCAGCAGATGCAACAACAGTTTGAGGAGCGCTGCTTTTGTTGCCCTTGTCACAAAGTTGTCCCGGGTCACTGATTCCTGGGCTTCCCGGCATGGGAGGTCATAGACCCACAGGCTCATAGACCATAGAGGTGTGTTTTTCGTGAGGAGACGGTCCAGGGGGGGGGGCCTCCATAATGAACTCAGACAACCGCACTCCCCTGCCGACTTGAGTTCCGCTTTTTCCTCTGTTTCCCTTTGCTCCCGTAGCGCCAGAGCAGGAGATGAAAATTCAGGCGGCCGAAGCTGCAAAGTTGGCTGTGGACGGCTCAGCGACAAAAACGAGACGATGGACTTATGCGTATGTCCGACGGGCGCCTTCCAGGATCTTTCATGTATCTTGAGAAGAAAACGAAAAGCGAGACCGTGTGTGGATAGGCTTCATCAGACGTGGTGACTCAGGCGGACCAGTCCAAGACCGTTGTGGAGGCTGAGAAGATGGAGCCGGGCTGCCTGATTTTTGTTAGATCTGCCCATGATTCTGCCTGTGCGTGCCAGTGCGGCGAGTGCGGCGAGTGCGGCGCTTCCGCATGCCAGTGCCAGGGGCCTCAACAGCCAACTGAGCCAGAGGGACGAGGAACTGGCTGGGCTACGCAAAGAACTGCAGGACATGAAGGACTGCCTGTCGTTTGAGAGCTGGAGCACGTAGCTGCATGCGGGTGCTGTGGGCGCGGTCAGGAGAATCATTCCAAGCAGCAGGAGTCTCTCAAAGCAGCGGAGGTAGGACTGTTGACTGTTTTGACATGCGTGGCCAGACACTGTCAGACTAGATCGCTGGCAAGGCCAACTACCAGCAACTGCTGCGAAGCACTGCCATGCAGCCATGCTGCCACCATTCAGTTGCAACAGTTTGTGTAGCGAGGTTCGCATCTACCCAGTCATAAAAGTTACTCACTGTAAGCCCGGGTCCTCAAAGCCGCCGCAACGCCAACGTACACTGGCTCACCAACACTAGTAGGTTGCGAGTGTTGGAGGGGGGGTTTGCCTTCCGAGGGATCTGTGAAGAAACGCGGGCCACGCGGCCGCATGTACCTGCGCGCGGTTCACAGGGACTTTGCCCACTTTATCCACTTTGCTTAGTACTCGTATCTGCTTCGATGTCTAGCATGAGGATATGTGAGCACGACATACAGACGTGCTGACTTACACACGTGAGAATACTTGCCAAAAGCGGTGGAGAAATGCGGGGCGAGAAGCCGGGAGAGATGGCGCTCAGGCATGGTCCATGATGATCCATCACGGTCCTGCTTCGGCTGGGCTTTAATCTTCTCTCGTCCCCATCATCAACTTGCAGAATGATGTCTGTGTAGCCAGGGTTGCAGATGTATCGGTCGCAGTGGGCCATTGAAATTACCATTAATTTGCTATGCTGCTGGGTGGGGAGTTTGGTGGCAGTGGAGTGATACGCGGGGTCCAGACCGCGTTCGCCGAGTCTTTTGGCAGGAAGTGTGCAGAGTCGGCAGGGACAGTAGTAAGAGCACTGACAAAATCCGACAAATCTGTCAACCCATTGTTTATGCACCTTTGCAAATCTGTCTACATTTGCCACTCTCGGACCGGTGGCTGCGTTGCAATGCCTGCCCTGCTTTTAGATCAACAGCCAGAAGAGAGATGCTGAAATGAAGCGAGTATCGATGTTGTCTTGAAGATCAGGATCTTGAGGTATGTGCAGCATGAGTGTTGTTTGCCGAAGGTAGAGTTGCACTGGCAGATTGTCCACTTCAGTGTGTGCGTCTCGTGCATCTCTCGCACCTTTTCCCCGAGAGCTGTGATACTCGTACCTATACAGGTCGTTGAGCATGCAGTGATTTAAGGGGTTCTGGCCTTGAGCGCTTGTTTACTTCGGCATTGCAGCAATGATCTTTCGAATTGCCCGCGTTTACTTGTGTGAGTGTGTGTGGGTGTGTGTGTTTTTTTTTTTTGTTTTTGTGTGTGTGTGTGTGTGTGTTTGTGTGTGTGTGTGTGTGTGTTTGTTTGTTTGTTTGTTTGTTTGTTTGTTTGTTTGTTTGTTTGTTTGTTTGTTTGCTTTTGGACGTGCCAGGTCAGTTGGTGCTAGTGCTGCTGGTCTGCCCCTTAGGGTTTACGTGGCATGTGCCGCGCCAGAACACTCGCCATGGGAACTGGTAATCTTGTCAGAGCAGCTCCGCGCTGCAAGGTGCTCCGGCACCTGCGCCACGCAGTGCAGCACGCGGGAACCGGAACGTTTTCATCCAGTTGGCAGTCATCTCAAGCAGACTGCTTTCACTTCAGCTTCAAGCGTGAAAACTTCCTGTGCGCTGTCAGTGTCGGTTCCCTTGTTGACTCTGAAGTCATGTTTGTACAAAAGCTACTGCAAAATCAGACATGCCACCCTTGTATCCTAGCAGCAGCAACAGCTGCAGCATCATCTTTGTCCGGTGTATACTTGTTTCTAGCTTCACCGTGTCGCGCACGAAATTGGAGCAGGAGCGTGTTCTGACCAGTCGGTTCCGTCCTTTGAAACAAAAAAAATCAGCTGACTATGTGCAGCTTCCTGGCCATGGGCACGTCGCGAAAATATGGACTGGTCGGGGCATGGAGATGGAGGCTCGAGCCTCCGCGTGTGAAGGATAGGATGATTGTAAGATCCTCGTCAGTGTTAGCTGTGTGCCTCTGAGGTCTCATCGAAGCCACTGGGCCACTGGGAGAAGGGCTTTCCTCAAGTGGCACAACCATGCCTGGTCCGCGCATGTCGTTGTCACGTGTGGAGCATACCCTGCGGCTCCTCAATGCGCTCAAGACGCCATCTCCGCCGGTCCAGCGCTCGCTCGACGAGTCGGCAGAGCCTTTGACAGGCACATCTTTCGCTTGCTTTGTGCGTGGACTAGTCACTGACGAGCACTAAAATCTGAGCAAAAGCTGTGGAATGTGTAGCTTGCATAGCTGTCCAGCTAAGGGCAAGCTGTCTGTTGTTTTCCCTCGCTGGCTGATCATCGTTAATGTTTTCGCTATGATTCTGGTTGCCGAAGCCTTAGAACGAGGACCGCCATGACTGCGGATGACTGCGGAAAGTCGCGAATGCAGCCAGCTCAACTTTGTCAGCCTAGGCTCTCGCAGAGGGCATACTCCAGCCTGCCTCCATGTCCGGAAATCCTGGCCTTCAACACCCGCGATGGGCTGCCTACGCGACTGGTTGGGCATGAACATGGTATGAACATTTGGTGCTCTGGCCGCGGCCTTTGAGAAACAATCCAAAGCTGTCACAGGACTCTGCTGTCGTTGATCTTCTGCTTGACCGAATTGTTGAATGGGGTGCGTGCTTCCTTCGTGCCTCTCGGCCTGTGAATGCCAGTGGAGGCCTTAAAGTCACCTTAAAGGCTTTGAGGCGATCTTGAGGCGGCCTTGGCAACGCTTCTTTTCTTAAAACGGTCTTACTGGGCTTCTTGTATCCCAAATCATTGAGGTTTTGTGGCTATTTGGTCATCCTGGCACTCCTCGGACTGTTGAGTTATAGAGACATTGTTTCTGGCTTTGCGCGGAGGCTTGGCTCAAAAGGTGACATGCCTGTACAGCTGCAAAACGACTACGTTCAAATGGCCGGATTGCATGCTGCAACCTGGCCTTCGTGCGTGGGTGCCAAGGATCGGCCCATGGCTGCCTCAGCTTCAACTTGTAATCATCCGTGGGATCAGCGATTCAGGAGCCACTCAACAGAGGAACTCCAGTTGTCCTTACGTCTGCAACACGTGAAAACAAGTTATCTTGAGAGAAGCAGATGCAGCTGCTGGCCTTGAAGGAATAATGGAGTTCTCATTGCTTTGGATGCTCGGCCGGCATCCGCAGAAAGGTGGGCCGTCAGTAGCTGACAGCGCACCTGCTGTTTCAGAAGCTCTTTAAGTAGATAGACATGATACATATATACATATACACACATAGACGAGACGGTGATGCCAGCTAATTCACAGATTCACTCAGATTTCTCGGATCTTGTAACGATCCCGTTGTTCAAGTTTGTACTAGACAGGACGTGGCAACACAGGATTCAGCAGCAACATCGCAGCATCACGACAAGACGAACATCCACCCCATGTGATCTGCGATTCTTTCGTAAGTTCCAAAGAGAATCATGAGCGCGTGGCGGGTGATGTGGGGGAGTCTCTCTGGCCTCTGCTTCTGAAGTGACTGACAGCTGGTGATGGGGGTCGGTTGATAGCTGCGCAGTTGACGGGCCGTGATGCGTCTTCGGCCTGCGAGCCTACACAAGGACGTGCCCCGATTCTGCATCATAGCTGGCCATGCGGCCTTGCGCAGCTATTACTATTGCCGCGTGCTTTGTGTTGAGTTCTTGCATTTCTTGCAAGCCGGGGCCTTTGGGCCTCCTCTTTGAGCGCATCGTTTCTCCAAGTCCGGCTGCCCCGGTTTTGCTCACTTTCTCGGCTTGTGGATCTTGCGCTACCATCGCACATCCACAAGATGGCATGACATCCCAAGCTTGCCGACAGATCAAGACGATGTGCAGACGGTAATGTTTTCCTTGTAGCTCACGTGACGGCGCATGTGTCCCAGTCTTGCGTCTTTGACCTTATGTCAGCTGCAAAGGCACTGTCAAGCTGTTTTGCGGGCCAGAGTCTTTGGAGGCACTTCGGCGCGTTTGCGCCTTTACATCGCGACTCTGTGTCTTGGAGTGGCTCTGCATCATATGCGTCCATGGCATTATCTGACCCATTGCTGTTGGGCTGTTGGGGAAAATTGCTAGGCAACTTTGACGGAAGAATTGTTGAGCAGAGGCCATCGTGGGTGCTACAGCCACCATTGCAACGGCAACGCCGGTGATCATCCAATGGGCTAAGTGCCATGACTTCAAGGTGCGGCCGCTGCTTCTGAAACCTGGTGCAAAGATGTGCAAAGATGTGCAAAGCAGCCGGCTTCCACGTCTTTTTGGGATCCGAGTTCCTTGATGTGGTCTGAGGATGATGGTCGTTGCTGCTACCTGTGGGAATTCCGTGTTTGTCACGAGCAGTCCATCGTCAATCGCCATCCGTGATGTGATGCGCTGCTCCCGCAAGCTTGTGAGTTCATGTGATTCGTTCGTCTTCTTGTCTGAATTGTTTCCTGGATCCGCACAGAGCATGGAACTGAAGTGACGTACGGCGTCTGACCGATAAGGTGTGAGGCCCGGACCTGCTCTCTCAAGCTGAACTCCCAGACACCCCTTGCAATTTGACTGCGCTTTGTTGCGCAGAGATAGGTCTAGTGGATGAAGACCAGACGAATGAGACCACAGCCTGAGTTATGGCTGGAGGGTGCCAAGTTATCCCAGGCTCTCCTGAGCGCGTCTGTGCTTGGACTCTATGCCATGTTTGTCGGCGACATGCTCTCCAAGCGTGATTCCATCAAGCCTGAGGAGGTTTCCCGCTCTTTTTTAAGGGTATGGCCGTAGCCTCGTGTTGTTACGGAATGGATTTTGGATGATTTTGGTAGAGGTCCATGGTATTGAGTGCTCTGATTGCATTAAACTCTGTACGAGCCCGCCATGCTCACTAGTCCTGGCTCGGCTTGAGCCAGGTGCGCCACAGAACGGGATATAGCGTTCCGAATCTGCTCCGTCCGACTCCATCTCAGCCAAGTGTAGAGCGCGAGGACGGCTGCATATGACACGAAATCCAAGACTTTCAGAGACGAGAAGGGCAAGTGAAGCACCCACTCAATCTTGACAAAATGGGTAGTTTGTGGAGGGTCCTTTCGAGAGTCGGTCTTCAAGCGTGTGCTCAAGTCATGCCAGTCATGCCAGTCATGCCATAGAGCTAAGTGGCGACGGGATCAGGAGAGCAACCCCTGTGCAAAACCGGTATGTCAGGTAAATCCCATGGCCAAATATGAAGCCTTACGGTTGGGGCTTGGGCCAATCTTTTCGAGTGACGTTTTTGCAATTCAGAACAAACGAAAGAAGTCAGAAGCCTGCACATGGCACAGCATTCTGCATGCATCGCCAGGGCCTTTTTGCAAGATTTGTCGAAAGAGCACATGTGATCACCCTGCATGAAACCGATTGGTCAGCAAGGGCCCAGGGAAGGAGAATACATGAAGAGACGTGTAAAGGGATGCAGAGTGCGAGTGGTCTTGACGTTCCCTGATTCAGCTTGAGCCATGTTTTGCAGGATGTAGCTGACTCTTCTCACCCTTCGTGCGACCTGGCCTCCTGTCGGCGTCCAGATGTGTCAGCATGTAGAAGGTTGTAAAATGTGCTCGCGTCCATGCGCCGTATCGAATCCGAGGAAAGGTGGCCATACGACCCTCTCTGGCACTTGTTTGGCACATGCTGATCATGCTGCAAGTGTGTTAGACATCTTCTGATCACCTTGCGGCCTTAAAGAGGAGTTGGACTTTGTGGTCGTTACTGGCTCGATGGTTTGTGGTCATACCCTCCGCTCTGCTGGCTTCATGAACTCGAAGGATGTGCTCATTCAGAGGATCTCCAGGCGACGGGTCCCTAAGAAACGAGCTCTAAGCCTCTAAGTTCAGTATACTTAACCCCTTTGCGGCCCTAGCATTCAGCTGAAGATGCTTGAGGATGCAGCCGCAAAGGCCCGAACCAATCAGGCAATGCCTGTGTCATTTGCGCAGTGTTGCGGGCATTGCGGTCTTTGCTTTGTTGAGGATACAAAGCATGGCAGATGATTCGAGTCTGGAGCTGGTCTCGCATTCCACTTCTGAGCTTGACTTGGACGATTGGTGTTTGGACGTAGACGACGTGATAACAGCCAGCCGCTTGGGCCAGATAGGATATTAGTGCTTCGCACCACAGAGATGTAGTGGCAGGACTGCGCTTCTTTGCGGGTCGACCTGTGCCCACATCTCACCCGATCAATGCCTTGGAACTCAGGATGTTCTGCAGCAGGTGTTTGCACCATGCGTCGATACCCGGGCATTTTTGCAATGCGAGGACCCAGCAAAATTCAACATTCACCCAAGATTGGCACTGCGGCACAGCCTGCCAGGGTGTGTCAGGGAGTGACACGGCGTGAAGGACTGCACTGCCATCAGATCCTGGGCGGACGTCGGCATGAGAGGCGACTATATGAAAGTGCAACTAGCTGGCAGAGATGACCCAGGGATGCAGCACGACAGAAATGAATGCAGCAGGCAACCTGGCACTCGCCCGCACAGAACTGTGACAAGGTGGTGTCGCCTGGAAGTGAGCTGATTGGAAAGAGTGTGGAGGCTCATGCCTCGTGCCCCCGTCTCGCGAAAGACCTACCCGGATCTACTCAGTGTCCAGTTTCTAGGTTTGAAGCTTGTGGCCAGGAGCTTCTAGGGCTGCACGAGCTGTCTGCACGATCGACGACGGAATCAGCAACTTGAAATGCACCAGAAGCTCTTGCGCTCAAAAAGCAGTCTCCCAGACTCAGCATCAAGGTGGTTCCCTGGTCTGTGCGGATGTTTAGAGGTTATCCTTTGGCTGCTTGGCGCCGTGAGGAGGCTGGGATAAGCAAGCTGCAGCCAGCACATGCCCTGACGCGTCTCTTTGGGGAACTTTGGGTCGCCGATATCGGAGGAGGCCGCTGGCTTCCGAAGCCGGCCTCTGTGCGCGCACGGAGACTCCCTCCAAGCCGGAGATGTCATTCTTTTTGATGCTTTTCAGGAGCTTCAATCGCATCAAATCGCATCATGCTGGCACCTGATTCCTGGTTTGAGATTTGTAGCGATTGAAAACTGGTGCTGCGGAAAGGAGTTTCCGAAGTTGCAGACGACCCAGCGGAACTTCTTGGTGTCAGGCCTTGTACCGAACTCCCAGGCCCTCGGGGGGAGAGCACGGAGAGCTGTCTAAACTCCAGCACCCCCTCTGACTCCACAGACCGGAAAAGGGTAAGTGCAGCTGCCAACCCTGCAGGGCAGAGTCCATGGTGATGTGATGCACGAACTGTCCAGAAAGGGAAATCCAAATCAACAGACGCATATGAGCACAGAACAGGCGGCGGATGTCGTCAAACGAGCAAAAGAACAGATGGGATCATTTTAGCCTGGCCTTGTAATCTTCTTGGCAGTATGTGCGGGCTTAGGTTATGTGCAGACACAGTGTATCGCGAGGTTCACCAATCACCAAAAGGCACGATGTGTTTAACGTTTTCGCAAAAAAAGTTCCATGAGCCTGCGAAACGCACATCAGAGGCGCGTTGTTTCGGAACCGTCGACAGCCAGCACAAAGTGATGCCCGACTGAGGGCTGGCAGGATGCGGGGGTGGTGGCTAAACTCATCCTCAAGAACAGACAGTCCTCCAACCAACAGAGTAGGCCCTCTTCCAGCCGGGGCTTGTGGCACGAAATGCCCAAAGTGGTGGAGGGGGGGCGGTTTTTGATTGGCTCTGGATCTCACTTCCTAGGATTTTTCGTGTGTATGCCCTGCAATGCGACCCAGTTTGAACAAAATCCTTGCCTGCCGCGTGTGGGAGGGGGGGGTGAGAGTCGACACTCTAGGTGGTTCAGTTCATTCATTCCTTTTTCCACTTGTGACAGGGCAGGGGAGGGGAAGGGAAGGGAAGGGAAGGGAAGGGAAGGGAAGGGAGGCGAAGGAGAGCGAGGAGAAAGGAGGAGAGGGAGAGAGAGAGAGAGAGAGAGAGATAGAGAGATAGAGAGATAGAGAGATAGAGAGATAGAGAGATAGAGAGATAGAGAGATAGAGAGATAGATCACGCGCCCCTCGGGGCGGCCTTCCTCTCGGGGGGGGCTATGCGTGCAGGAGAGAGAGAGAGAGAGAGATAGAGAGATAGAGAGATAGAGAGATAGAGAGATAGAGAGATAGAGAGATAGAGAGATAGAGAGATAGAGAGATAGAGAGATAGAGAGATAGAGAGATAGAGAGATAGAGAGATAGAGAGATAGAGAGAGCGAGAGAGGGAGAGAGCGAGGGAGAGAGAGAGAAAGCCAGGGAGAGAGCGAGGGAGAGAGAGAGAGAGTGAGCTTTCACCAACTGAACCGGTGGAGCACGCCCATCCGGGCGACCTCCCTCGGGGGGTTATGTGCTGCGGAAGGAAGGAAGAGAGAGTGAGCTTTCCAGGCGCGCCTAGTTCGCGAGGGCTAGGGTTATCATCCCTAGTGCCTCAGGCCCTGCAGCAAAGAAGAAGAACAAGAAAACGAAGAAGAAGAAGAAGAAGAAGAAGAAGAAGGAGAAGAAGAAGAATAAGAAGAAGAAGAAGAAGAAGAAGAATAAGAAGAAGAACGAAGAAGAAGAAGAAGAAGAAGAAGAAGAAGAAGAAGAAGAAGAAGAAGAAGAAGAAGAAGAAGAAGAAGAAGAAGAAGAAGAAGAAGAAGAAGAGAAAGAATCATAAACGAAGAAGAAGAAAAGAAAAGAAATAATAATAACAAGAAGAAAGGGAAAAGGAAGAAAAAGAAGAAGAAGAGAAGGAAAATAAGAAGAACGAAAAGAAGAAGAAGAAGAAGAAAGAAGAAGAAGAAGAAGAATAAGAAGAAGAAGAAGAAGAAGAAGAAGAAGAAGAAGAAGAAGAAGAAGAAGAAGAAGAAGAAGAAGAAGAAGAAGAAGAAGAAGAAGAAGAAGAAGAAGAAGAATAAGAAGAAGAAGAAGAAGAACGAAGAAGAAGAAGAAGAAGAAGACGACGACCACAAGAGAGAGAGAGAGAGAGAGAGCAACACCCTCACCCACAGCACCACCCATCACATCACCACACCAGTCTTGGAGAACCAGACGAGCCCACGGAAGAGTTCACCTCACCGAAGAGCGCTACGTCCGAAGAAGAAACGGTGAGCCGGAGACCAAAACTACAACGACGAGGTTCCCCACTACCCGATTATGACTCCCGACGACGCAGAACACATGAGGCGGCAAGTAGCGATTAAGGTAGACAACCTCAAGCCGGCCAGAACAGGGATACAGAGCGGGGGAACCCAACATACGAACTCTCTTCACCCTCATACTATAGTCCTCAGTCTTCAATGGGTCCCAAAAGGGGGAAGCCGCAACCCTGGGTCAGGTGAGTACCAGTAGCAGCATGTAGCGAGCTGCAAACATCGAGGCTGAACAGAGTGGGGGAACCCGAAGACCATGACTAGATGGGGTTCATCATCAGGGGGGCGTACGGGGGCTTTGTGCTTTGACTTCAGGGGGAAACCACACGCCTCGTTATTTTCAGAAGGGCTGTGAAAACCGTGGCCCTTCCTAACCAACGCACCCACGGACTTCGCGCGCCCCTCGGGGCAGCCTTCCCCTCGGGGGGGGCTAAGCGTGCAGGAGAGGGAGAGAGAGAGAGAGAGAGAGAGAGAGAGAGAGAGAGAGAGAGAGAGAGAGAGAGAGAGAGAGAGAGAGAGAGAGAGAGAGAGAGAGAGAGAGAGAGAAAGAGAGAGAAGGAGAGAGCGAGAGAGTGAGCCAACCCAACGCGAGGAGTGACCACTTAGGTTCGCCTGAGGCTACAATGACCATGCCGAGAGTGGGGTTAGTTGCAGCCGAGAGCGGTTAGAAGGAGAGTTAAACGCCGCTTGGAGAGGCACCGCGCCACGGACGCTCCCGGGACATGTGGCGACTCGGCTCCGCAGATGAGTCCCTGCCGCGTTGTCTGCCATTCATCGTTTCTGCTTTGCCGGGCCGTTGTTCCCTACACATCCGGCATTCGAAGTTGCAATCTCTTTCCGAGAGCTCTGCGTGGCCAAAGGGCCTAGGGGGGTTTGGCTGGGGACATCGGAGGCGGGGAGTGCTCGCGATCATCGCCTTTATTGTCGCGCTGCTACTGGAGCCTCGCCGGAGTAACCCTCTCTGTCTTGCAGTGACACGCCGAATGTTGTGGGTGAGTGCTTGTTGTGAGCAGGAACTAGCATGTAGCTCGCCCGTGATGTGAAATCCACGTTGCATCTCAGGAACCTTTCTTCCTTCCTGCCTCTCTTCCTGTCCTCCCTCCCTCCCTCCCCTTCCTTCCGTCCCTTCCTTCTTTCCTTCCTCGCTCTCTTCCTTTCTTCCTTCTTTGCTTCCTCGCTCTCTTCCTTTCTTCCTCTTTGCTTCCTCGCGATCTCAATAAGGACCTTTGGCAGAGGACTGGCGTGATCAGACAGCTAACTGTAGTCCCCTCATAGCTCTGGAATGTTCAAGTGGCGAGTGGGCAAAGTTTGGTATATGTTGTTTGCCGCTGTTTGCCCGTCTTCACTGCACTGAAGGATCAATATTCTAGTTGGCTGCATGTTCATTGTGGCCATGCTGCTGATGTCGTCTGCCGTCAAGCCCAACGACATCCCTGAAGCTGGGTTCATTTTATGATTCATGCTGCTGCAGACAGCGGAGAGTCACCAGAGCAGGCAACACACGGTGCAGCCGCTGCAACCGAGGAGATCTTGGATTGGAACTCCTGCCTGACGGTCGGCTGCGGAGAGGCGATTTTCATTGCCATTCGGCGCAGTGGTCGCTCGGCTGAGGCTCTAAAAGCTGTTGTGGTGCGTGCCCCTGTTGCAAGACCGCCTTGGTCTTGCTGACAGAAGAGAATTGTGATGTGCCAGGTCTGTTGACTGCGCTGGCTGGTCTCATCGCACAAATTGGAGCAATTGGAGGCAGAAGAATCGTGACAGCGTCACCGGTGGCATTCTTGAGTGTTTGCCTGACGCAGTGCCAGAAGCAAGATACAGAAGCAAGAGAGTCTGATAGAGAAACAACTTAAAGATCGGCTCCACAGGCAGCCCACTGCAGCTGTGCACGCTGTCCTTGGCTGCTCAGTTGGCAGCTGCTTCAATTTCGCCGACACCAGCAGGCAACGATGTTGCATTGAGATTCTTGGGGCAGTTTCTGAGGAGACCGCATGAACGACTAGTAAGCGACGAAAACTCTGGCACTCAGGCCTGCTCATAGCAAATGCAGCAACTGTACTGGATGAGAAGCACCAGCAGTTGGACTCGCAGCCACTGGGCAGAGTAGCATGAGCATGTTGTGCTTTTGTGCGGTTGCCTTCATTGTCGGTGCTTCTGCCAGAACTCCCATGATTCCATCTGTTTAGACAAGCCGCTGCCTTTGTCAGCTGCTGCTCTGCAAGGCAGCTCGTCATCCTAGCTGCTGGGTGGAACTGGCTTGGGTAGCCCATTGACACTGTTTTCAGTAAATTCACCGAAGCGAGTGTTCTTGGAGTTTCCTGCTCTTCGTGCAGATCATGATCTCGTGCAACATGGTGCTGAACATCCGGATGCCTGATGATCTTATGCGCGGGAAAAAGCGCAGCTTCAGCGACTTGCTCAAGTCCGTCACACTTCAAAGTGGTGACAGTAAGGTACTCTTGTTACAGCCCTTGGGCCCGAATAAGATCAATTGAGGCGTTCGCCATTTGCTCTTCTGGCAACTTCCGACTGCCGCCTTGGTTATGGTGCTCACAGTGTTATGGACACTTGTGTCTCGAAGCTGAGCTTGTGAAGCTTCCGAATTTAAAGCTTTGGGGGCTTCAGGTGACTTGAGGGGCTCGTTTTCCCAACGCTCAGACGCTCAGGTTCCATGGAACTTGATCGTCAAGTGCTTCTCGTCTCTACAAGCATGCGTGGCTCGCTGGCGCGTCCTTCCAATGCTCGCAAACTGCGAGTGTTGGGGCGGGGCGTGGCGGATCTGGCATACCGAGGAGGGACCCTATTCACGCGAGGGTGTCGGTGGACCTTCCACCGCAGACTTGGGTGGATCTGCTGAGAAAAAAGGTAGAAAAGGAGAGCATGCCTTAAGGACTTAAGGTGGCCTGGCCTGCATCAGGCCGGGGTCGGGGGCTGGCAAATGCCGAGGTCGGGGCATCGGCCACTGGCAAAACTACGATGTTGGGGGCGCTTATACAGGCCAGGCCGCCAGCTGCTTTGTGCTTCGCAGGCTTCCCCAGAGTTTGACATTTGTGACATTTGACTCTTTGACGAACCGCTCCTCAGGAAAATGACCCCACACAAATGTCCAACTTCGAGGAGCAGAGGCAGATCTTGCTGTCCTAGATGTCAAGGCCTGTAAACCTTGACCCTGGTTCAGTGCATGGCAGGAACAACCTCATGGTGCATCATCAGTTCCAGGCACGTCGCCACAACATGCGACGTCCTCCTGCCATGATGCACTGCCTAAGTGCCAGATTGGTGGGCGCACGTTGAAGTTCCTCGACTGCTCTGGGAATGACCGTGCGGCACATTTGGTGAAGGCAAGGTCCTGGCTGGATGCGCCGGATCTAATACAGTCGGACGCCACATCCTTGAGAAGAGCTGGCGGCAAGTTGTTATTTACACCTCATGTGACCTGGACAGGAATGGTTCGCTCGCACGCAGTGGGTCTTCGTGGTGTACAGTCTGACCGACAAGAGGCGCTCGACGCAGTCTTCGAAGAGGCCTTTATGACCCTGCGGGGCATACGTTTGCATCCTGAAGGTCGTATGAAAAAGCTTTGTCGCTAGTTGGCGAAGCACGACAAGTCTGGCGCTCAAGATGGGGCACGTTTGGATTGTGGTGGGCGCCGGAACAAGATAAGCTTGCCTCAGGCTGGGGCCAGTGTAGTGCTCTTTGCCAACAAATTCGTGCGCACCTGAAGAACTGCAAGCCACAAATGGTTGTTGGCTTGATTTGTTTCATGAACGGTCCGTCTTTCAGGGACACCAGTAGCGGGCTAAGGACATCAATCAGGGCAAGCCAGTCGAGGTGCGAGCATTTTGGTCACAGTTGAGTGCAGTGCCTCACCGCAGCATGCGGCCACCTAGTAAAAACACTTGCGCAATATCACAGTGCTTAGAACTCGTCTTCAGCCCTGACGATCATGTGGCGATGCCATCTCACGCGTTTCTTTGCCACAACGTTTCTTTCGGGGCCACTGCACAAGAAACCAGAAGCCTGTCTTGTCCCTTGCACATGCATATGCTATCATTTGCATGAGTGCACACGAGATCAGAAGCCGCCTGCGAGGCAACAGGATCCATGGTGAACCAGTATAGCACACCCCGCCACCAGCTGCCCAAAGAAGCGACGAAAATGAAGCCTCACAAGGGATCGGGGTGCGATGACCCCGAATTCACAAGTTCAGTGTTGTTTGAGACGGAGACAAACGGAGGCCACGTCCTTGTGCGTCTGGACACATTGACAGATAACATTATAACATCTACTCTCTAGATGTATTCACAAGGTTCGATGTCGGCTGAAGGCTGAAGGCTGTCTGTGAGAGTTCACTGTACGATTTGCTCCAACAGTTTCCGAAGGGATGTGTCGGACCGTCGGAGCCAAGCTTTAGACAAACGAGTGTTGTGCTGATCAACCATATTCCTTGGCAGGCACGCTCCGAGTACTGATTACTGAGCAGGGAAATCAAGCAAGAAGATTAAAAGATAGCATGCGAATTTTGCGGTTGCATCAAGTGAGGCTTCAGGAAGAACACGTTTCATGGTGGCTGCTGTGGCCACTTCCTGAATCACAGATGCCGCCCCTGCCTGCACGACAGGTCTTACCTTGAGTCATGCTTATGGAAATTTATGGAACAAAGCACCTGACAGCAGGTGAACTTGCAAGATGCTGTAGACAAGGGCACGCAGCTTGGTGTCTCAGACTCAGCCAGATCAATGCTTGCTGTGCGAAGGGAGAGCCCAAGCCAAAAGTATACATCTGCGTCTCAGGCCTATGTGGGTGAAGGTGTTTCATTGTCCGAATGGGCGAGGCCGGTGCAGCCAGGGCCGGGCAAGCCAGGAGCAACCACAACATGTAGGAGCCTTTCGGCCGCATGACCTTGAAGCCAGGTTTGCTGCCAGCCAGGATGAGACGCAAGCTCCAGCAGAAGGCGTATTGACACGCCGTGGTATTGAGATGTATTGAGATGTATTGAGATGTATTGAGATGTATTGAGATGTATTGAGATGTATTGAGATGTATTGAGAGTGTTGTGGAAGTTTGAGCTCTGCAATTTTCGCACATTCACAAGTCTTCGTCTTCAGATGCGCCTCCTGATGGGGCAGCTTCTGACGATCCGTGCGAGTCTCTGGTGGAAGTCAAGTTTCCTTGTTTGAAGCATTCTTTCTGTTGGAAAGGTGTGGAGCTTGAAATAAGGAACAGTGAGCATGAACTGTCCATTGAGAAGCAATCAGCGCTAACGCGCTGAGCCCCACCGTAGCCTGCCTCGTTTGGCGGGCACGGTTGCCGCCTACATCCCAGCGTGGGATGAAACCTGTCAAGGAGTCAAGAGGGCAGCTCGAGACACCTCCGATTGCAAAGGGTGTGCTGAAAGGATCAATCCAAAATTCATCGCTGGGTGGGGGCCTTGAGGAGGTTTATGAAGCAATGGAGGTCGTCCACGAAGCCAGGAAGGTAGGGTCCCACAGAAGGTCCATGTAGGTCCTCAGCAAGGGGGTTCAGGTTCATGGGGTCCTGGGGTCGAAAGACACAAAGCATTCGGCGTAAGACACAGTCGCAAACCTCCACACACGGGTGCAGAGATTCCACCAGGTTGGGGAAGTTGGGGCAAGCGGCTCTGTGGGGACTGGCGCCTGCTTTTGGAAGAAGGTGGAACAAGGCCCGGCGAATCAGACTTGAGGCAGAAGCGCAGCTCGATCTCAGCAGCCATCGATTCAGTGAAGCCCCGGCCTTAGGAAAGATTGCTGTGAGTGCTTGTGCAGGCTTTTGCAATGTGTTACCGTGCAATTTCATGCAATGTGTGCATTTACGAAACTGTCTCCTGGTGCCATCCTTTGTCTGCGCTTCAGGTCTTGGTTTGGCACGACACCCGAAAAGGGTGGCAAGGCACGTGTTCCATCTGCTGCCTCGAGTACTGCTGTCAAGGCGGTGGTAAGCAACAGTAGGAATGTCCGAGAGGCAGCAGGTGTGCTGCGTGCATCGTTGAAGGGCACGAAGGCAATGAAACAGGTGCGCGTTGCACCGTTACACCATGATTTGGTTGCGTGTTTGGAGCGCCCTCGCTTTTGCCTTGTGAGAGGCCAAGCGTGATGTAGACCCCAACGCAGATCTTAAGCCTGTTCAAGAGTTGCAGGACATGCTTCACGATGCTCTCGGATTTGTGGGAACTTAGTCGTAGTCTGTTGAGCAGGGTTTGTCTGAGGGTTAGAATCACCCATAAGTCAGGACTCGGAGTCTGCCGTGACCTGTGTGTGCCACAGCCTTACTGAAGCGAAACGCGGAGTCTCTGCAAGCCTTCCCTTCGAGTGTGGACACGTAGTAGACCGGTTTGCTTTCCGAAGATGATAGCCTACGCCTTAGCCTAGGCTTTGGCCAAGAGAGACTTCACAGGGCGTGCCCCTGCTGTCGCAGCACTGCTTCAGAATGCCTCTATTCGTAGATGCTGCTTCGCAGATCCTGGGGTGGCTGGCACATGCGATTTGCCGGAGAGTGTTGCGCAAGCCCAAGTCATGGTTCGTGTTCGCTGCATCTTGGGCTCAGATACTTACTTGGAGGCTGACAAACGTTCCTGTCTGAAGTAGTCGCCCCTCATGGTGGATGTCGACCACTTGGAGTTGCACTCGCACACCCACCCTCCCGGGCCAAACAACGATGGATCACTGGCATACAGACACTCGCCATAGCAAAGCGTCGGTGCCAGACTGACACTGTACGTTGCACAGCGAATTGGGGCTCAAGTCGCAACGTGGCGATTGTCGCTCGAGCAGATCCAGTCAAGTCGTCGAGCTTGGCACACTGACCACTTCCCTTGGCCCCAAGGACTGGAGGACTACTTGCTGTCAGCCTCTTGCCTCATGGAAATCAACGCCTTCGCTCAACGACATGCCCCCAAGTTTGAAGACGTGGGGCCAGGATCACCTCGGCATGCACCTTGGCTGCCTTTGCTATAGGTCCTATAGGCATGGTACGGTTTGAGTTCTGATTGATGGCGTGCTCTGAGACTCAGTCAGGATCACCCCCACGAGTGGCATGATATTTTTCAGGAGCGTGCTCTCTGCATCTGCTTGATAGCGCTGATAGCATCTTTCTTGTCGTGGTCAGGAGTACGAAGCAATGATGCGAGTGCGCACGGACCAGTTTCTTGCAATCGAAGGCGTGACAGCAGAGCAGGCTGTTGAAGAGTGCCACTTAACAGCACCATCTGCGAGTCTCTGCGAGCTTTGATTTGGGCGTCACACTTGAGGTGAACGGTTGGGTAGACTACCCTGAGGCTTCCGGAAGCGGAATGAGGGCAACTCCAAATTTCAGTATTTTGCCACCTGTCTGCACATGACAAGACCGTGAAAGTGAAAGACTAGGAATTTAGAGTGATGTCGCAGCATGCCTGTGAAAAGGAGTACTTGGCTGCAGCAGTGGATTATCGGAGATTCTATGCATTAATGCTCGACTTCAAGGACTGTCAGAGCCTTGTCGCTTTACCACAATGCGCAGACGACCTGGCATGCCGCGCAGGAAGGGCGTCGGAATCTGGCTCAGTGGTGGAATTGCCTGAAGCTAGAAGATGACGATTGACCATAATGCTATATAATGCTTATCGTGCCTTTTTGTGCCTTGTAGGCATTGACATGTACTGCCACCGGGCGCTGCAGAGCCCGCGCTGCTCTGACGCTTTGAACACAGGGCAGCGCAGTCACTTCGACCGAATTTTGACACATTTGAACTGCGGTTCCCTTGAATTAATCAATCGTGCCATCTGTCTGGGGGGACTCTGAAACAGGAGGGGCCCAGGAACAGGGACGCGTAGGAACACAATTCCCTGCACGTGGGTCGGGAGGGGTGGGTTTGCCGGGATGCTGTGCAATGATGTGCTCACAATGTGCTCACAATGTGCACAGATGTGCACACAGCTCCCATAGATGCGGCCCGGCTGCACTTATGAGGAAACCCGAGCTTGCAGCAATGGTCAAATTCAACTTTTCGAGCTTTCGGTTCCATTTGTACAGAGACGTCACCGTAGTGACCGTAGTGGGTGGTCAAAGAGTTCGTCTTCCTTGGCCTTCAAGCAGAGCAGAAACATTCTTGTAGACATTGTAGACTGTAGACTGTTTGGAGTGCTTCATCAGACCATTGCATGACACATCATGACAGTAGTTGCTGACTCGAACGGCGCAGCTTGCAAAGTCAACTTGTTTGCTCACCCTGCGGTCAGGTACATTCTCTTCGTCACTGCGTCCAAGGATGGCACAGTCGTTGTGTACCGGTGCTACAGGACATAGATGCTCAAATCAGCTTTCGATTGAGATCCCTGTTTGCTGATGTTTGCTGATATCTGCTGGGAATGATTGGGCCATATACTGAGCCAGGACTGAAATGGAGATTGCAATGTTGGCCGCAGAAGACTTCCGTGGTGACAATGTTCGCGCCCTGGGACCTCTCAAAGCACATCAAAGCACCTATAAACCTACGAGTAGGCGACGTCGAGCACGAGTAGGCGACGTTGAGCAAAGCAGCTGCTAACAAAACAGACAGCAGACAAGGCTACGACCGCCAATAGCGTCAATAGCGCACTTGCAGCCCTGCCACAGGCAGCGCCTCCACCTGACCACTCCAACATTGCAGCTGCCGGCCTAACTTTGCTCTGAGTGCACAGTGCTGTTGAAAAAACATGCTGCAATCCACACTGAGGGCCAGTCTTTAAGTAGCACTTTCGCTCGGCTAGGGTGCGCCTGAGATCGAGACCCCCGCCCACCCACCCCCGTATCAGGACATGCCGACACTCGAATGTAAGCGCTTTCGATGCTGACAGGCGTCTTAGACAAGGTCCTGACAAGGTTTCTTTCAACCTGCTGAGGTACATTCTCGGCTTGTCGGCCATTCACGCGCAATCACATCAGTCTTCTTCAATCTACTTGAAGATCAGCTCGTGCTGCCCTCACAGCAAGTAGTCGTAGTTGCGCGCATCTCCAGCTCTGAGACATGCAGTGCACAAAGTCGAGAGAGGTCACTACATCAATTGACAAATCGGTACGTTTTTGGAACGTGGATACTGGGGAGATGCTGAAGGCAGGCCTTGCTTAGCTGCAGTCCTGCTTTTCACGGTGGTGTGCTGTGTTGCCACAGGTTTTCACTGACTCCTCTCCAGTGCCCGTGGCCGCTTTCCTGCCTTTCAATCCGCAGGTGCCGCAGAAGCACACAAGTTCCCACTGTAGCCTGCCCATGCCTGCCCCGGTGCCAGGTTTTTGTTGCGGCCAACTCGAATGCCGTCCTGCGGCTTGTGAACGTGCAGAATGGCATGGTCCTTCAAAAGCTGAAGGCGCTTCACTTCTGGAGCCCTCGAGGATTTCTGCCCCTCACATAAGTGGCCATGCATCAGGTCGAAACCGAGGTGCGTACTTTGAAGTTCGATGATACAGGCTTGTTTCTTCTTGTCGGTGGCTCAGCGTATCCGCACAGCTTGTGCAAATTCAAGGCTCACTCCTTCTGCTGCACCATTTCTCTGTACTGTAAATGCCAGGCTGGCACAAAGAGCGGCAGTATACATGTTTTGGAGGCCGGCAGGGAGTAAGAAATCATTGCGGCAGGGGCTCCTGCCACATCGTAAGTTTCCTCGCAACAAGGGCTCATGCGTGAGCACGCCAAGCTCGGCATCATAGCGGCAAGAGTTTTCAAGCTGCTCGTCTGTGTAAGAGGCAACAGACGCCAGCACGTTGAAGTTTAAGTTCAAGGTGCAGCTGGCGCGAGGAGGCTTTGACATGCCATGGGGAGCATGCACAGAGGGCTGCGGGCTGCGTGGCACAGGCCATCACAGGTATGCAATGAATGCCTTGCGCCTGCCTCACGCAGCCGTGTGATCAAGGTACCGGTTAGGGGGGCTCCTTGGGCGCCGTCCTTTCCATGGCAGAGAGCGAAGAGCAGGTGCAACGCCGTCGGCTGGATGAAGACTCCAAAAAGCTCCTTGAAGCTGAAGCTGCCAGCCTCGCTTCCTACTACAGCCAGCTGGCAGAGGACAAGAACCAGAATCCCAAAGTGAGAGAAGCAGCTCTCCTTTATTCTGTAGCTGAGGGGCACATCCAAGATGAGGAGGTGGAGGAGGCTTTGCAAAAGGGCGCCCAAGCGCTGGAAATGTTCCGTGAAACAGCTTGCAAGGCGGGACAGCAGGACACCGTTCGTCTGCTTTGTGGAGCTGAGCGCCTGAAGCAGTCCCCAGATTTTGCCATCGACAAAGCCCAGGCTGAGCTTCGGAGCTTCCGAGAAGCGGATGACAAAAGGGGCCAAGGCTGTATGCTGCTCGCACTGGCAGAGTGCCAGCTGGCCAAGGCCCTGGCGGGCGAAGCTCTGAGTAGCATTGAGGAGGCCTTGCCCTTGTTGCGGGCTGCTGGCGACAAGAGGCTTGAAGCCTTGGCCAACTTGCTTGCAGCACGGGCACAGCTTCGAAGATGCCAGTCCAAAGATGCTGTTCTTTCAGCACAGTCAGCAGTGGCACTCTCCAAGGAAGCCGGGGACAGAATTGGAGAGGGAAGATGCTGCAACTGGCTAGCGATGGCACAAATGGACGCGGGGCGTCCCGCTGAGGCTTTGAGTACGGCTCACACAGCGCTTGAAATCGCCCAGGAGGTGAGCAGCTCAAAGCTCGAAGTGAATGCGTTACAGCTCTTGGCGAAGGTTCATGTGTTCAAAGAGAAGAGTCGCCCCGCAGTTCAGTTTGCAGAGCGATCCCTGGCAGTGTGCCGCAAGATGCAACAGTCCAAAGGCGAAGGCAGTGCTTTGCACCTGCTGGTGAAGTCCCTTGTCCAGCGAGGTGACCTCAAGCGTGCCTTAAAGGAGGCCGAAGGAGCCATGGAGGAATATGAAGCCAAAGGTGACAAGCGTGCCGAAGCTTCAGCACACGGTGCACTCGCCTTGGTTCGCCAGGAGCGGCACGAGTTTGACTTGGCAGCATCCGAGCAGAACCAGGAGCTGGAGATCCTCAAGGAGCTCGGCGACAAGCATGCTCAATTGAACGCCTTGCTCACACTCTCAGCTATACATGCAGCTCAGAAAAAGGCATCTCCTGCACGAGAGGCTGCAGAGGAGGCCAAGCAGCTGGCAGATGATGTCCAGGACAAAAAGGGCGAGGTCCTGGCAACAGTCGCCCTGGTCAACGCGCAGATTGCCGATCAAAAGAATGAGGATGCTGCGGCGACTGCCCAAGAAGCCCTGCGTGCTGCGCAGGAGACAGAAGACAGGCGGCTGGAGGCGGCTGCCCTCACAGCAATCGGAAACGTTCATTCCGCAAAGGGCGAGTTTGGAGCTGCTGTGGGCAAGCTCTCAGAGGCAAAATCCCTTTTGCTGGAATCTGGTGATAGAAGAGGAGCAGCTACTTCTTTGCTGAGCCTTGCTGACATTCACTTGTCAAATCAGGCTCCAGATTCTTCCATAGAATGTGCAGATGAGGCAAAGGACATCTGCAAAGACCTGGACTACAAGAAAGGTTATGCAGATGCATTGCGAAAGCTTGCAGCCGCACACTTGGCAAAGGATGACGAAAGGGAGGCAGTCAAGCTGGCCTTGGTTGCCAAGAAGTACTGCAAAGCAATTGAAGACATCCGTGGTGAGACAGCTCTGCTCCACTTCTTGGCATCATCCAGCCTTCGCAAAGGCGACAAGCACGGGCAGGAACTGCAGCAACTTGAAGGAAGGAAGCAAGGCGAAAGCCAACATGGCATACAAGCCAATCGAAACCTACGCAATTCAGCTCATGAGGCTGTGAAGAGGGCTAGGGCAGCGGTGACCATCGCAAAGAAGAATGATGACCCATACTCAGAGGCGACTGCTTTGACCCATGTTGCCCATGGGCTTGCCATCTTGAACCGAGGGCAAGAGGGATTGGTCTGCTGTCGAAAGGCAGAAGACTTGTTCCGAGAATGTGGGGCAGTTGGCGATCAAGCCAGTGCAGTCTGCCTATCCGCAGAAGTTACCAACACCATGGGCAACAAGTCTAAGGCATTGGAGCTTGCCAACAGGGCGCTTGACTTAGCCCGACGCGCTGAAGATGGCAAGATCGAAGGTCGTGTTTTGGGAGTCATGGAGCTCATCAAGGGAGTTCAGAAGCAAGTGCAGCAGGAGATCCCAGATGCGATGTACGGGACTCCAGAGGCTGCCGGCGTGCCAGGTGCGGCTTCAGCAGGACCAGTAGCACAAGGACTCGATCCGGACATGGTCCAGAGCAAGTTGCAGCATGTGGTGGAGCAAGTTGCTGGCGGAGATGAGGAGGTGCACCTGGACACTCCGCTGATGGAGTCTGGCTTGGACAGTCTCTCTGCAGTGGCCTTCAGAAATGAGCTCTCCCGAACTTTCACTGGCATCGGACAGCTGCCAGCGGCCCTCATGTTTGACTACCCCAGCATCCGCGCCATCACTGAGCACATTGTGGACCGGAGCAAAGGGCTCGCGTAGTTGGTTTGCACCAGACATCTTCCTCGCAGTTGCCAACAGCGTATGCGCATCAAATGAGGAGCCAACAAGTGCACCATGCCATGTCTGCCTACTATGCTTCCCCATCTAGGCTGTAGCCGCTGCGCCGCACATGGGCCGGCGCAAAGCGTGTACTAGCCGTGCCTTTCATCTTCCAGGTGTAACCTGCTTGGTCTTCGTGCCTGCAGCACACGGCCAGCCCCCATGTTTGTTGGTGCGGCCCTTTGAACGGTCAAACAAACAAGCATCAACATATGTGTGGCCTGGCGTTCTGGCTCTGTTCCGAGGTCAACACGTCAGATTCGTCCGCGTCAATCATTGACTGCACTTATGGACCTCCGCCTGGTGTTTGCTCCCAAGACACACTGATCCAGAACCTGACCGTTGCAAGGTGCAGCAGCATTCTGCTGCATCACATTCCGTTCGCTTCAGGTGCTCACAAACTTGGCAGTTAGGCACCGTGTCGTGCTTACTTTGGCCTGGAAGGTCTCCAAAGACTGCATGCGCAACGGTGCAATCCCTGTGCTCAGGTGTTCGCGTTGCCCACGCGCTGCTTCCACTAAAGTGCTGCTACTCACCGTGGAGGGCTCGTTGGCTTTCCTGACGGACATTGGCTATACGAGCCATTATCGAAACATTAAAACCTGGCCATGGGGGGTGCATCGAGATCGCGTGAGGTACCTATACTCTGTTAGCGACTCTGGACTATGGCTCAAAAATTGAACTGCCGAGGTCCAGCCAGGGATACCTCATTTCGGCTTCTGAAGACAAGGAGGCCATGATCTCACTTCACTAGCAAGGAGCAGCCACAATGCGATGCCTCAATGGCATCTGGCCAGGTCTACATCTACTCCCTAGCAAAGGGTGCAAACTACAAGATGAGCTACCTGAAGCACCACCAGGCAGAGCGGGAGGGCTAAGCTATTGGTAGTGCAGCTGAAGTCTCTCCAGGTGCCAGTCGTGGCAGTGGCGACGAACCACCAGGATGAGAGCCTGCATGTTCGGTAAATTCGCAATCACGCTGCTCAGGGCATGTGTTTCTTTAGGCCCGAGCTTGAAAAAAAGGTGCATCACTTGCCTAACGTTTGATCGACTTTTCGAGACCAGAGCTGGCAAGGACACACTGCTGGCAAGCGCCGACTCGCTGGGTCGGGTAGTGCTTTGGAGAAGGCCATCGCCAAGACTTGCGAGCCGTTGTCCATTGCCGGCTTGTTCCTTTTCCGGATGGCCCACCCAAGTGCCCAAGATAAGCTTTCCTTTTGCATGTGTTGACGCTGTTCAGGATGGACTTCTCGCATCTGCCTGATTGACGGAGTCGGCTGCTCGAGCAACTGAACGATCTCAAAGTCTCATCCCGTAGACGGGGCCAGAATTTTACCCACACACGTGTGCATTGTCGCGCCCAGTCTCTTCAGACTAGATACATGCTTTCACAGACAAGTGGTTCAAGCTCGCTATGCCGCCATGCTGTACAGCACCGCCAATTTGCCCTCAAACGCCGACGGTACTGTCAGGAGCATCGTAGCATAGGAGTACCGACTGCAGAGTGTCTGAGTCTGTCTTCAACCGAGCAGTAGCGGCAGGATTGGCATGACTTGCGGCCAAACACAGCTCTGCTAGATGCATGCCCGCAATGCTGGACATGCCGCAATGTTCGGCACCAACGGTTTCGTCAAGGTACCTGGATCTGGCTGTGAGCCGTATGAGCCGTGCATGGCAGCCCTGTGGTAGGTTTCAGACCGAAACTGGGGCCGACCAGCCGCTTGTGAAGGCCTTCGGAAGCGCCTCGGCCTGCAGAGTTCCCATCCCTCCCGGGCAAGCGATCAGGAAGCGAGACGAAGACATGGCACGCTTTTGGTACTGTACTTCCCGATGCTTCCCGAGGATTAGGTCCGATCCAGTTCTGCCGAGGATTGCGGAGGTCTGTTCGTGGTGTGGTTCATGTTTATCGATGCTGTGGTGCCTTTGGTTATTGCGGAATATTGCGGATGCTTTGCAGAGGCCCGGGTTGTCGGCTCCAGTTCTGCGAGGAAAGCTTCTGTGGCGGAGACAGACATTGGACTCTGGGATTTGATCTACTGGCCGTTGCAACCTGTCATGGGGCATGAATCTGCGGTGCGGTTGCTGTCCCAAGGCTCAATACCTCAGGCTTCTGCAGGTGCCAAGCGCGGAACGGCAGCTGGTTGCAATGTAGCTAGCAGCTTCTTGTTGTTCTGCATGCCTGTTGACTCCTGTTGAGCATATGAAATAAATACGACATAAGTATAAATATACATATATATATAAAGATGCTATTATGTCCCGTCAGTGGAAATGCAAGGTGTTCCGGCCTGTTGCTTCACTGCTCCCACCTGCGAGTGTGGAGGAGGCCGACCGTATTCCAGAATGCGTAGCGAAGGGTTCTTGTTTTCGGAGTTGGGGATCTGGGGGTGGGGCGGTGAACTTAATCCGCGCGTCTAGGGTCCGTAGGCGTTGGACGGTGTTGCTGAGCGTTCATTCGTGAGCAAACTCATGACCGTCATTACTTTTGCTGCTTTTAAGCAGGGAGAGGTAGTACTTGGACGTGCAATGCTGCAATATCTGCAATGTCCCGAGTGCCTTTGGACTGCGGGCGCCGCGCTTCGGAGCCTTGCTTGTCTAGGCGGTCGAATTGGGAAATTGGAGTCTGACATGAGGGGGGGCAAAATTACGTAAGGCTGCCCTACTTGCCCTCCTTGCACAAATGCAACCCAGACCATGCATACATCAAAAAACTACAACTTCACCCTCTGCTCAAATATGACTGTACTCAGGAAAAAGGGTATCCGGGCATCCATAGTAGGGAAAGACACCCCCTGAAAAAGTAAGTTGCCAGGTGTGTCTACCTCGTGACGCAGTGTGGAGATGCTGCCTACAAAATCGCTCTAGTTCATGATGTATTTAAGATTATTGTTTTGAGAAGTACTCGTAGTTATAGTAAACGGCGATCGAAAGAATGTAGCCGAGCGACTCGCGTGGCGATCCGTGTACCAATTTACCCAGCCAAAGCTCGCACTGTTACGTCGAGATACAGATTTCTTGCGGTCCCACCGCGTTCGGGTTTGTGGCGTCCATTTAACACCCAAAACCTGCCCGACCACTTGTTGGCAGGTAACGAATGCCGCTCTGGCCTCTATCGAGGATATCAGAAGCTCCCTTGATCATTTCCAGGGGCGATCCAGCGCGGACAAGGCAAGGTTGCGCTAGGCGATGTTGACTACAACAAGGCCCCGTGGCCCAAAATCCAACCCTTGACAGGAAGCCATTTGCGATGAACCGTCGGATCTTCGGGAGGATCTTCGCCATCGGCTCGCGCGATACAGCTTCCCAAATGCAAATTGTGTAACATGTTGTAGCGGAGTTTGGCCTGTTGCGCAGTTTTTTTGACATCGATGTTGCTATGCTCTGGCTTGCCTGCTCTGAAGGATATACACGGCGGATTGAGCCGCCGCCACCTCCGCTGGCCATGGATCCAGCGCTGCCCGGCAGAAGGATGTAGAAGGTGAGTGAGATGTAGAAGGCCGCATGCGTTTGCTCCAGGTTCGAGCCTGCGCCGCCTCGACCCATGCAAGCCGCTGCAGTGCAAGTCATGTCCTCGAGCTGTCTTCGAAGCTTCCAGCCTCAGCGGAGACGTGCCCAACTAGCAGAACAAGCAGAGCACAGGACCTGTGAAGGGGTGTGAGTGATTCCAGGATGCCACACATGCTACAAAAAATGCTCCAAAGAAGCTGTGATCGAATCGAGTCACGGAAGAGGAGACTCAGGCTCGAATCTGCAAAAACCAAGCGCGAGCTGACGCACCAGGAGCCGACACGATCCGCTCATGCGGAGCTCATAGCAAGAACCGAGCAGTACCGAGCAGCACTGACCAATCAGCTTCCTACGGCCCTACGGCAAGGAACTGGAAGAGAAGACAATGGCAGACATGGACCGCTACATCCAGCGAATGGAGCAGTATGAGCTGGAGAAGAACTCCAGCCGTGCAGGAGGCCAGGAGTCTTTTGTTGAAGCAGAACAGGGCCAGCTTCAAAGTCGCCTAACGTCGCTGTGGTGTAGGGGGATGGAAAGGGGGTTGACCGAAGGGTCTCTGAATCTGAGCCTGTCTTCCAAGCTCGTACCATCCCATGGGTGATGCTCAAGTCAATGATTGCGAGGTAGAAGACGCCCCCTTGCATCACTTACGGTGGAACAGCAGCTGCAGGACTGATGCAGGTGCTATGAAGCGTGAGCCGGGGTGAGTTGGAAGCTTGATGGAGGAGCGTCAAAAGCAGTTTGCCACGATTATGGCTGCTGCTGCTTTTTGCGCTGGCGCTGTTAAGGCTATGACTGGATTTGGTCCTATCAGCCAGGCTCACCAAGGGCATCGTATGTCAATGTTTTCGCTTCAGGGACTTTGAGCTGACTTGTAAGGGTTCAGATGTGACGTGCCTTAGATCTGTCACTCTTGTTCTCCCAATCCACTCAACATGGGCAGGAGGATGGTGCACAACCACCAGAGCTGCAACATGTCACAAGAAGCAAAGATCACGCAGACACACGCAAAAGCAAAAGCATTCATCAACACCTTTTAAAAAGCACCAGGGCAGCAGGCGTGAATTGTCCGAATGCAGCGTGCGTTGCGCTTTTGATTCCCTCAACCGCGGCGGAAGGTGGCCAGGGAACAACACACACAACGCCAGAATGTCCTCTTTGGGAAGCGCGCGGCAGAATATTGTAAAGAAATAAGCATGTAGCTAGCACGGCAGCAGATCGGTGCTATCGCGGCTGAGTCTCGGAAAGTGATGTCTCGGTTCGACAGTTTTGTGTGGCTTTGTGTAGCAGGTGCTGTTCTATTAGGTTTCCCCCTCAGCATGCAGCTCGCCAAAGCAAGCGCACCACTCTTTCTCACGAAGAGAACGTATTGATTCATTCTTGCATTCGCCCAGCTGCCAGAACCTGCAGGCGTGCCTAGCGCGTCTCAACCGCATCAGTCTGCAGGAGAAAGGCACGGCGGCACCTTGGCAAGACACCTTCAGCTTTCCAGGTTTCCAAGTGTATGCTGCCTGTTCTGCGCATATGCCAGACTTGAGGCGAGACCTTTTGCCCGCGAAGTGGCAATCAACTTGTGGCGTTGAGGGCTCAGCGCGGGGAGAGGCCTAGGCAACTCTTTCGAGACTGCACGAGTCACAGCTTGCCCGAAGTCGTGGCCTGCCGAAGGTTCACATTACGCTTCCACAGTGCGTGCTCAGTTTGCAGGCAATGCGCAAGAGGCGCGGAGGCTTGACGTTTTCGCAACAAACGAAAAGCACCCGTGGCCTATGGAACTCGAAGTTGCTTAGATGATCTCCGGAAAAGGTCATCCAATGGCCAAGGGGCGATCCCCCACACCTGTTGTAGAACTGTTAGAATCTCTCTATTATCATTTTTTGCCCCTTCATCGTCCTCACTATACCTGATGCCTTCCGTTCGGGCTCCACTGCAAGTCCGAAGATAGGTCCATAAATCAACTCCCTGATTCCCTATGAAGCCCACAACACACTCGGTTGCATCGCAAAACAGCTGCCAGGCGACACCGCACTCCACGCCCTCCCCGATACCTTCAAGCCCCACTCGCAGCCCTTCACGGAGATCACTGAAGGAGCAGCCCATCTTGCAAGTGGAGCCACGGAGTCGTATAAGCTGATTGAGCATTGCAAAGGTCCGCCGACGCACGCATTATGCAGATGCAACTTCCTCTTCTGGAGAAGAGAGAGGCTCTTCCATTCATGTGGCGCTGTCAGCTCATGGAGGACGTGCCTCTGGGCTGCAAGTAATTCGTGCTTACGTCGATCCTTTCGTGGGCATCTTGCTCCTGTTTTCTGATGCCTTCCCAACATCATCCTATCTGGGGGTGGAGTTCGGCTGGGGTGAACACACGTCGGCCGAGAGCGATTCGTGAATGATTCGTGCCGCCGACCAACTAGATTTAGCCCAACACGGCCGATTCTTTGAGGTAGATGGGCGCTTGACTGCCCACAGGGCTATGATCAACTTTTCCTTGGAGTAGGTGGCGGATTCAACTCCCCCAACAAAACACATCCACGGCAATCTCTCCAAATCCAACGGCAATCCCAACCCGTCCCTCCCATCCCACACTACTTCAAAATCCTTGGCATTTACTGGGACTGCGGGCGAATGCCCCCACAAGTCCGGGCCACCCCTATTCTGGCCGAAGCCGGCAATACAGTAATCTCCACGTTAAGCGACCCGCCTCGGCCTGAGCGCAGCCCTCCTGAGCATGTGGAGTCCGCAACACGGCATGGGGGGTTGGGGACCGGCTGGGCGGGTGGTGGGGGGGGGCCTGAAGTGGGGGGGGGGGGGCTGGCCTGTGGCCCCAGCCCAAACTGTCCTGGTATCCCCTTCCGCACGCGTGTTGGCAGGGAGGGTACCCATTTCAGCCAAAAAAGTCGAGAGAGAGAGGGAGCGAGAGCCCACATACACTTCCAGGCCAGGAGGTGGAAGAACTGAACGAGCAGTCATAGCGGGGTGATGATACACGGACACTGAAACAACGAACTGACGATGGGGACCGACAATGGCAAGGACACCGCGAGAGCGAGGTGGGTCAGTGGGGGGCCGCGTGTAGCAACCTTTCTGGGCCGTGAAATGGGCGTTAAGCGAAGCCCGTACTTTTCACTGGGGTGCCAAAGATGGACCACTGAACTGCTTGGCAGTCGTGGCCGGGTCCCCGCCAAGGGAAAGCGTGCAGCAGAAGAAGAAGCAGAAGAAGAAGAAGAAGAAGAAGAAGAAGAAGAAGAAGAAGAAGAAGAAGAAGAAGAAGAAGAAGAAGAAGAAGAAGAAGAAGAAGAAGAAGAAGAAGAAGAAGAAGAAGAAGAAGAAGACATAAAGGAGTCCCGCCTCTGGGCGAGAGCCGAGCGACGCGTCGCGCCCTCGCCAGCGACCCTCGCCTACGCGTCGCGCGAGCCACAGCGGGAGTGCCGCGCGAGCGCTGGCTCCAGGGTGGCGCCAGCGCTCACCCAGCGGTCGCCCCAACCCGCGCCAGCACAGGGCCAGCGCTGGCTCGAGGGTGGCTGCAGCGCTGGCCCAGCGCTTGGTCCACACCCTGGAGCCAGCGCTGCTGCAGCGTGGGCGGCCATTGCTGGCGCCAGCGCCGTGCCACCGCTGGCTCCCTGGCTCGACGCAGCGCTGGCCCCGCGCTGGCGGCCTGGGCCACGGAGCCAGCCCTGGGCCAGCGCTGGCCCCCTGGGCCAGCCAGCCATGGGCGGCTGGACCATCATCCAGCCAGTGCTGGCCCAGCGCTGGCGGGCAGCGCTGGCCCACTGCCATCCAGCCAGCGCCGGCCCAGCGCTGGCTCCCCGACCATCGAGCCAGCGCTGGGCCAGCGCTGGCGCGAGCCAGGTACCTGTGAACGTCGTCGTCTTGTAGCAGTCGTCGTGTGTAGCTGTAGTAGTAGTAGTAGTAGTAGTAGTAGTAGTAGTAGTAGTAGTAGTAGTAGTAGTAGTAGTAGTAGTAGTAGTAGTAGTAGTAGTAGTAGTAGTAGTAGTAGTAGTAGTAGTAGTAGTAGTAGTAGTAGTAGTAGTAGCTAGTAGTAGTAGTAGTAGTAGTAGTAGTAGTAGTAGTAGTAGTAGTAGTAGTAGTAGTAGTAGTAGTAGTAGTAGTAGTAGTAGTAGTAGTAGTAGTAGTAGTAGTATAGTAGTAGTAGTAGTAGTAGTAGTAGTAGTAGTAGTAGTAGTAGTAGTAGTAGTAGTAGTAGTAGTAGTAGTATAGTAGTAGTAGTAGTAGTAGTAGTAGTAGTAGTAGTAGTAGTAGTAGTAGTAGTAGTAGTAGTAGTAGTAGTAGTAGTAGTAGTAGTAGTAGGTAGTAGTAGTAGTAGTAGTACTAGTAGTAGTAGTAGTAGTAGTAGTAGTAGTAGTAGTAGTAGTAGTAGTAGTAGTAGTAGTAGTAGTAGTAGTAGTAGTAGTAGTAGTAGTAGTAGTAGTTAGTAGTAGTAGTAGTAGTAGTAGTAGTAGTAGTAGTAGTAGTAGTAGTAGTAGTAGTAGTAGTAGTAGTATGTGAAGTCGACCAGCACTGGACTTGCACTAAGCCAATGCAATCACAGCCCGGTCACGCTGTTTTACGACTTCGTGAGTCCAAGCACTTGTGCAGCTACGCCTGAGTGCGTACGGTCGGACCGCACAGCAACCTAGGAGCTACTGTACGACTCTACCGTGCTCAAAGGCACAAGCTCGGTACTTGAGCCAAAATATTGGCATTGATACGAATTGCAAAATCTACACATGCAAAGGAAAACTACAGTACTGGTTCTGGCAGCTCTGCACATGGAACGTGCGTGCTTAGACCTGCTCACATTCGCCCCTCAGCCGAGGCTTCCAGCTCATCTCGAGCTCGGAGTGCAGCAGGCACTCGCGCTGAACACAGAAAGGGAAGGGCGAGGGTGTCGCGTGCGACCATGGTGGTCCGCACATCATGAGCATTGGCATGCGGCAGGGACGCTAGCCCGCGCCACCACAACGAACGCACGACGACAGCAACCCTCAGCAGCCCTTAACCACCCTTTCCCAGGAGGTCCTCACCCTTTTGCTGGTGGGCGAGGCTCTTGAATCCTCGAGCTGGTCTCTAGCTGCCAGTACGCAGACTAGGGTACAAACTATGGTACACTGTACACTTCCGGTCCTAAGCTACGGCTACGGCTACTCACCTATCTGGAACTACCCTACGGGCTACCGGACTCAGCGAGAGCCGCGCACATGGCTTGTGCCGCAGGCAATGCAGCTCACACGCGCTTCGGCGAGCGCATTGCCGCGACCAGGACACGGTCCGCAGCACCTGCAAAAGAGCACCCTCAGCACGAGGGGCCACAGGCAGGGCGGAGGAGAAAGGTGCGGGGAATGCAAAATGGGCAGGTTTCCAACCTGCCGCGGCTTTTCGCCCGCAGTCAAGCAAAAGAAAATGCAAAAGGTTGGCGAAGCAACGTGCCGTGCTGCAACGCCTGCTCTGATAATGCGTGGATGCATACCACGCCGCGCCGACTGGCCGCAGCCTACTCGATACCCTGTGGAGCAGTGTTGGGGGCACGAGTGGCGATGCCAGCCACGTTGGAGCTACTGGCTCGCTCCAACTGAGGGCGCCTTGCGACCGCCTCATCGAGGGAGAATGCCTCAGCCGACACCCTCTGGAAATCCTCGATGTAGGACTGCGCGACCGGGTGCGTCTTGGCGACCTCAAGCCTAAGCCCTGCCTCCGCATTGGCTTTGCTGCT